AACGCGAGCCTTCCTAGCTCTACGACGAAAGAGAACGATGTTTGTACTATACGGATCGAGGCCGCCCGTAGGGCCACACGTATTCGACAGTTGTCGAGAGAAAACTCGACGCACATCATTATGAATTGCTTTTAGGGGGTTTACAGGTGTCCAGCTATTTGACGAGAGGTTTTCCCCAACGTGGTTTTTACTCTCGATTAGATAGTACTTTGTATATAATTCCTCTACTTAGCACGTCGCCGTACCCCATGGGAGGTCCCCAGGGTCCAAGCATTGCGTTTTGGATACCCGCCCGACGTTAATAAATACAACAACAACAACAACAACAACAACAACACCTTGATGATTATAGAGAAAAGCGGGCCTTTCATAAATGAAGCACGTGAATCATTAAGCGATCCAATCGCCCACAAAACCTAACATCAGGACAGGATATAATAACATCTGACCATTGCGCAGATTCACAAGAGCAGCGGCTCCCCCCATGAATAGAACCATGCTCCGGCTCGTCCGGACTCCTGCTATTCAGAATATCACATCAAGAACAACGACAATACCGAGCCGCAAGATTTCTTCCAACTTTAGACAGCGATCCGTCGTCTCCTCGTTCATCTGCACCTCGCCCCAGTCCTCGAGCGGCCTGACCTTCGCTCTCTTCAAACGCAGTCAAGATGTCGCTACATACCGGTATGCTCATCTTATCCCATATTTCTACTCTACAAATCTCTACAACTGCCAGACAGACGGGACAGCTAACACGTGGTAGAGGTAAGTGGGCAGTCTGCTCCGGCTCCATCGAAAGTACAGACGCCAGCCCCCTCGCCGCAGCGAAGCGCGAGATATTCGAAGAGACCAAGCTCTCCTCTTCCGACATCTCCCTGCTGATCCGTGGAAAACCGTTCAGCCTCAAAGACGAGGCGCTGAGGACAGAGTGGACCATCCACCCATTCGCATTCCAGCTGAGAAAAGGCGCCAAGCAGATCTCATTCGATTGGGAGCACAGCGAATTCAGGTTTGTGAAGCCAGGTGATCTGGGCAACTATGAGCACGTGCCGCAACTCGAAATCGGCATGAAGAGAGTCATAGTGAGCCCGGAGACGCAACAGGCACTTGGCATCTTGCGGGGCGACGACGTGAGTGGAGCTCAGGCTCTTGCTTTGAAATCTTTAAAGCTGCTCCTTGAGATGGTGAGGGGGCGAGAGTTGGGCGCTATGGAGACTTCAAGGGGGTTCTGGACGGAGTTGAGATGGAGAGCGTGGCATCTTGCGAAGAATGGGAGACCTGCGATGGCCCCGGCGATTGAGGCCAAGCTCTTCAAGTCCCTCGATGCTGTACATCGGGAACTAATTGTTCCAGGCTCGGGGGGTATTGATGGTACCCCGCTAGTCAAACTGAAAAGTGTTGTCGAGTCAGTCATCAAATACAACATCGGAGATTCGCATAGCCGCTCCGCTCTGCTGGCTCAAGCATTCGTCCAGTATGTGAAAGACAACAACCAGGACATCTCTGACGCTGGAAACCTCCCAAAAACCATGAAATTCGTCACCTTGTCGGATTCCGGGACCGTCATGCAGTGTCTGGTCTCATTGATCGAGGATCTGACTCGCAGGGGCACGAAAACCCACGTGACCGTCTTGGAATCACGACCGGATTTCGAAGGCGTGGCTTTCGTTAACAGGCTATTGGAAACACTCCAAGAGGTCTCAGAAGCGAAGAAGATGGTCAGCTTCTCCATCATACCGGATGCGAGCGTCGCCTCCGCTGTTGCGGATGCAGATTACGTCGTATTTGGCGGCGACGAAGTACTCCCCAACGGAGACGTCAGTAACAAGGCTGGCAGCTGCGCTGCTGCTGTTCTCGCCAAAGTGCTGCGCCCCAACTGTAGAGTCGTCGCCCTGTTCAATACGGAGAAGATCACGGGGTCGCGGCTGGCCATGGACAAGGAGAGAGAGCGCAGCGACGAGAACGAGGTGATCTGTGCCTGGCCCGTAACCTATCCCGGCCAGTCGATAGAGGAGATGAGGACGAAAGGATTCGAGATTGATGTTCGGAATGAGTACTTTGAGTGGGTGCCCACCAGGTTCATCGACCGGCATATTACGGAGCGGGGGCTGTGCTCACCTGATGCTATCGCGACGCTTGGGGCAGAGTCGGAAGCGATGGAGAAGAGAATCTTTGGGGACTTGTAAAGTTCTTATAGGATAAATGGAATAGTCTCGGGAATTCGAACGTGGACTTGGACTGGAAGGCGGCGTAGGGGGCTGAGGCTCAGCGCCAGTAGAGAAGCTCAAGCACAGTACGAGGGGAGGGAAAAGAAAATACTAGAAAGAGGATCGTTAGTGTGGCTGGCACTTCAACGAAAGGAAGAGCACGACGTACGTTTTCAGAGCCATCAGGAGCGGGAAGTCGTGATTCGCAATATACATGAATTTGACTTTGATGCAGACGGGAGGGACGACTGGATTTTGGGATATGAGGAGTTTTGATAAAGGTCGCTGGCACTGGCTGCGAAAGTGAAAGAAAAGCGCAGAGGATTAATCTGCCAAATGAGCAATGATTTGCTGCCCAAAGCTGACTTCGAGGTTGAAAAGCTCTATTTTTCTCTACTAAAAGACTCCACCACAGCCACAACCCAGCCAGAGGTCTGTCTCAACGACTCACCTATTTAAACTGAACTGATATTCAGTGTTGGATGTTTGCAGCCACCGGAGAGCCTCGTTGCCTAGGATCGTGATGTGCAAGGACCGAGGATTGTTGACTTGGGAAAGCCTTGGGTCCAGTTGCGCATAGATTCCTAGCTGCTTCGCGCAGACTAGGAGGTACGTTTCAAAGCAGTCCGAATCGAAAGAATCCGATCCGGAAGGCTCCAAATTCCGTTGGAGAGAGTTTGTTGATAGAAAGGGTAAGCAGGGCTGAATTGGATCGCCATTTCCACAAAGGCCACGGTGAACAACACAATTCACTGCTTGGCATTCTTCCCATTGACCACTCCTGGAGGTCTCCAGAACTCGATGGTCCCGAAGCCACCTTCGGCACAGTTCCTGGAGTTTCAGGCTCTGTATTTGTCCGGGCAGACGAAGTTGACGATGTCGTCCTGGCCGAGATCCTCGATGTGCTCGCAAACGGCATGGAATCTCTGCTCTGCAGGTAGATGCCGGCCGGGACCGTATTGTCGACGTTTGATTTTCACATGCCGAGGATCTGGTTTTGTCGCGAAGGTGGTGCACATCGTGCAGTCCCGGGCTCCCAAACACAACTGCCTTGGCCATCTGTCGAAGCTAAGCGAGGGACCAAATCTCAGTTGCCGATGAGATGTGAATGTGGAAGCCGCAAGAAGATTCCCAGTGGATGTCGAATCTAGAGAAATGAGTAGAGACCAAAACTTGTCAGTGGTCTGAACTCACCTGGAATCGGCGATGGTGATCGGGGAAACAATCTCGATGGGATGGAAGCCATCAAACAGTATGCTTCTTGGAAAGCGATCCCGAAAACACTGCATTCCACTTCGAAGTCTCGGGTCGCCCTCCATCGGTCGGGTCGTAGACATTCAACGAAGATTGAAGAATTCCATGGTCCTAAGACCAAGTCGACAGCTACTGTAAGGTCGGAATTGAAGAAGGGCGGTGAGACAGATGTTGATGGTGTTGAAGAAAGAGAAGAGAAGAGGAGAGAAGACAACGACGAAGCCCCCATTATATACCTATACACTTCCAAGCGAGTCTGAGCAGCGCCTTCTAATGAGCGCAAGCTACCTACCAGGCTTTGCACCGTTGCTCTTTCCACTCGTAAGTATTTTCATTCTATCCTAGAATGAGGTGACTGACTGACTACCTTTGCGGCAGGTTCAAGGGGGTCCTCTGACCTTCTTTCACAGAAACGACGAATATTAGACCGGCTAAGATCAGCGCTAGACTGGGGATAGTTTACCAAACACCGTTTTAGACCGATTTAAACATTTCTAGACCGTTCTAAGACCGCCCAAAAGCTGCGCCGATTTTGTGATTTCATGGGAGTTAGCACGGCTTAGGAGCTAGTCGTAACTGGCCCTCTCACACCTTGGCCCTAGATTTAAGGGCATAGTAACCTTGCTGACAACAACCTAGGGACAGTGGGTGGGTTCGAAAAGATCTTTGTTATCGAGTTGATGACTTGAGGTGGTGCTTCATGGAGAACGAGGTTCGCACCTAATGTTAGATGGAAATCGCCTCGACCGCCGAGGCTCCAACATTCACTTATAAACCCTTCCACTTTAGCATCATGAACAAACAAAATTGACGGAATAATGAATTTCAGAGATACTTATGACTGCATTTAGAGATTTCTGCGATATGCAAAAAAAAAAAAAAAAAAAAAAAACACTCTTAGTATGGATCGCGCGGGTAGCGTTGGGGTAGTCAGTCACTAGAGAACTGTGGGTGAGTGGTATTACTTCAATGAGAGGCGCCCGCCTATCTATCATCTAGGCCCACGAGCTAGAACATGAGCTAGATTGAGTCACCTTCATCAACTGATCGCAGCGGATTTTTTGAACTTCTCCTTTCCATTCAAATCCAACCTTTCTTTTACCGACAGCAAGTGTCCTTGAATCGCTCGAGCCGACACCACCAACATAACTTTCAACTTGCTTCGCTCTTGGAATTCGCTCTCCAACCACTTCAACCGTCTTCACTGCCCACCACTTTCAATACCACTCCTCCCGATCACTATGGACTTCCTGTGTGACGGGTTGGAGAACCTGGCCGTCAGTGCCGCCTACGAAGAGCCGGACTCCAGCCACGTAATGATCAAGGTGTGACAAAACCTCTTTGGCTATACATACGACGAGGCGGCTGCTCTGATTGGGATCACGAAGATAGCAGCCAGCAAGGTATCGACACATCCCCCAATGCCCTCACCCGCTCAAGCACGAACCATCTATCTTCTGAAGCTTGACGGTCCCCTCTCGACTCCGGCCAAGGTCCAGGCAGCTGCAAAGCTCCAGGCAATCTCAGAGTCTCACGTCAGAAGCAGCGACGACGACGGCAACAAATCTCTTTTCTGCAAGCTGGACGGCCGTGCCGAATTGGCAATTGAGAGTTGGCTATCTGCTCGGAACGAGGAGTTCAGACCACTGTTCGTCACCTTGGGACGGGCATATGAGGAGCTCTCCTCGTCGTCGCTCTATCCCACGCTCGGCATCTACACCATCCTCCTGCAGTTCCGGCCCCAGGATGCGCATTTGCTCGTCCATGCGCCGACCTTTGGTTACGCACAAGATCAGTTCCCGGTCTGGTATTTTTACGGCAGACTGGCGAGTGCTCCCAAGCTCTGCAGCCTCCTCTCTCTGCCCGGAGATGAAGTTCCGGTTTTGCACAAGCCCAGTGCCATGGGAGGAAAGATGGAGACGGGGGGCAATGGCAAGTACAATGCGCTCGTCTACGGGCCGGAGATAGTAAGCCGGATCAACGGATGGGCATATCAAGTGGCGTCGGAGGAACACGAGGATGCGCTCAGAAAGTACGAAACTGCGGCGTACGAGGTTTTCAAGTGTGAGATGGAGATGCATAGCAATCGGGTCCAAGGCTGCATATCCAGGTTTGTGGGTGAATGTGTGAGGTGGCAAATAAATCCATACGACGAATCTGTGTGGACGTTCAAAAATCCAACCTCCACCATACCGATACTGACGGCTACTCATTGGATCGAGACGGGGGAAATTCGGAATCCGAATAAGCAATTTCAAGCATCAGCGCGGAACTGCGGATGGACCACTAGACCATGCTTGTTTAGGGGTTTGGTGTGACCATGGACCCGGACTTGGACCTTGTATTTGCGAGGCGCAGCTGCAGCTGCAGAGCTGCAATCGACCTGGAAAGTACGTGCGCATCAAGCCACAAACCTGCCTGGATGAATTTCAGGAGTATAAGGACGTAAACAACTGCTGTGCCTCTTGTTCACATTCCCTTGAAAAACAGCCGTCGAGTCCCCCAGTCGCTCTTTCGCACCACAACTCTCGCTTCTTGATCCCTTCTCCAAAACAAAAAGACATCCATCCATCACTCATCACCCATCACTATCAACATCATCATGCGTCTCTCAACCATCCCCCTTATTGCTATCCTAGCCGCCTCTGCCCACGCACAAATCGACCTTGACTCTCTGACTTCAGCAATCGCAGGTGGTATTGCAACAGCTACATCTGAAATCGGCGGCGCCTTGGACACCGCAACCTCAGTCCTCGACGGAGCTCTCAGCACCGCCATTTCGGGAGCATCGGGGGCTTTGTCGACAGCCACGGGAGCAGCAGGCAGCGCATTCACATCTGCCACATCGATCGCTGGAGGTGCCCTCTCGTCTGGCAGCAGCGCCCTCAATGCCCGCCTTTCCTCAGCCGTGAGCGAGGCTTCTGTTGTCGTCTCCAGCATCGAGTCCGTCGTGTCAACCGCCACCGGGGCCGAGAAGACCTCGTTGCTCAGCCAGGTCAGCAGCATCAGCGCGGCCGTCAAGTCCCAGGCGAGTGAGGCTTCGGCTGGTCTCTCCAGCCTGGCGACCAGAACACCCGGATCCCAAGCTACGCCGACCGGTGCAACTTCGACCTCGACTGGTGGAGCTATGGTTACTTCTGCTCCTATGTTTGCCGGTGCTGTTGCCATTGGCGCCGCGGCCTTGTATTTGATTTAGGTGGCTTTTCAGGAATGTGTGTGAAAATATATGTATGTACTAGTGTTCAGGTTGGAAAAGATGGGACCTACAGGAGGGAAAGACCAGGCTTGGTACTCGCAGCAATATTGTATAATCGTATACCCTTACTCAGATATCTATACGACACGGCAGATCCGTCAAGGCTGCTTGTTTATTGTCGCTATCACTTTCGTTTTTTCGAGTGATAAGTCAACATCTATGTTTTACTGCCAAACCCACAAGAGCCTAACCGTTCAGCCAATCGGCGCTCAATCTCCCAGGGCCAATCAATATCCAATCTCCTTCTCCAGTCTGCATTCAAATCCATCAAACCGACAAAACAAATGAAGATCTCGTGCCATACCTTTCCCGCGTCCGATACTCTGAAACTTACGTACGTCATGCTCTTCCTTCCTTTTTTGCCAATTTAAGTACACGTACGAACGACCTTTTTTTTTTACTATTTTTTCTTTCATTTCTTTTCCATCGCCCTCTGATTAACCGACCGGCTGTCCTAGCTTTGGTATGATATCCGCCGTAGTTTTATTTAGGCAGCTGGATGTTTTAAATTGGTGAGGAGTTGTTGTTGTTGTATTTAATATTAGGCTGCTCTATGGGGCCCCATGAGGCCCCACGGAGTTTTGGGTCCTTCCTACGAGGGAACCCACGGGGGGTACAAAATTCTGCCCTCCTTATGAGGAAACCTTATAGGGCATAGGGTTTCCTTAACAGTACACGCACCTCGGGAAGGGCGAACGCAAGTTCGCCCTTCCCGAGATGATTTTATTTCGCGCGTAAAAAATTTAAAAAAAATCGCTTCGCATCGCGGCGACGCTTTTAATACTATTTCGAGTCACGCCGAAGCGCTAGCACAATCACGTGACCTTTTTTTCTTAATTAAATTTTTTTTCGAAAAAATATTTTCGACTTTAGTAATTATTTAGCGTTTTTATACTATCACGTGATATTTTTTAAATAACGAAAACCTTTTAAGATTTTTCTTTTATTTAATAAAGCACTAATAATTATAGAGAGAATATTCAAAGCTTATTATTTTCTACTTAGCTAATAGATATTATAATTAACGTTAAGTTTTTTATTATCGCCCTTCCCGAGATACGCGATTTTGAAAGCTATTATTCATCAAATCACGTAAGACTTGTTTGATAAGTAGCTAATACTGTAAACACCCTGCCTGATAGGGTACCTGCCATAGCCACTAAGGCTACACTAAACGGACCTATCTTTTATAAGAGGGCACACATCTTTTAGCTAGAATAATCAACGAGCTTTCTACCTATCTTTTTTAGCACTTTTTTTGTGAGATTATAAGGTCTAGCCTCAAAGCTAAGCTTTTATACGGCATATCTTTTTAAGTGCTTTTACATTAGTGATCTACGCAAAGATTTAAACTTTTAGTCTTTATTTTTATACAGCTTATTACAATCGCTTAATTCGCAATCAAGTTGATCTTCGTTTATCATTTAACACTTCACTTTATAACTACCAGGCTGCTCCATGGGGTGGGGGCCCCATGGGGTTTTCCTCCTCATTCCTCTTATAGGGTCTTGGCCGATAGGGGACTTTTTTTTTTAAACCTTATAAAGAGGATTTTTTTAAGTCAAATTCCTTACGGAAGATAGGGAAACCTTATGGGTTTAAAGTGGGATAGCTAAAAATAATATATGTGGGGCCGTTAAAAATAAAACAAATTTACGAATATTTATTAATTTTATTTAATTATTATATTTATTTATTATATTTATTAATCATATATGTTATATTTTATAATTATATTGTATTATATTATAATAAACTAAAATTATTAAACAAAACTTCTAGTTATGATTTCTCGCAATTTCTTAATTAACGCTATATCTTTGTTTTGAATCGTTACTCGTTTAACGTGAATAGCATATAAGTTCGTTATTAAAAGTGATTAGTAAATCGATTAGTAAATAAATATATAAGTACTTACTTTTAAACTCTCTTACGAAGAATGCTTTTAAAGCTTTTTATAAACATTTTAAAGCACTGCTTTGAAATTTAAAGTCTTGTTTAAAATCGTAAGTGATCTTTCGAACAAAACGCTAGAAAAGAGTTTTTTTAATAAGAAGCTCGATGCCTTTTTAGTATCGTCGGATTTCTTTTAACGCAATAGTTATATAAATTAATAATTGTACTTAAGAATCAATTTATTAATTAATTAAACTTACTTCTTGGCTTATAGCGACGGCGCTTTCGTTGGTTTAAACTTCTTTTTTTCGCAATAATTGCAGACTTCTTAAGATACTTGCTTTTTTTAGATTTTTGACGAGAAGAAGTTTTAATTGCCGAAAGTGATTTGTTAGTTAATAGAACGGAGCGAACAGCTCTAGCCGTCGAAAGTGATTTTTTAGCTCTTTTGTATTAAAAGAAAAGAATATCATTTTTAATTGAGTTTTCTTTATTATCGCTTTGCTCTTTTTTATTTGTATTACTATAAAGCATCGTCTTCGTCGCGGTTTTTGTAGCTATAATTAGGCCCGGGACAATAAGAGACTTTTTAAAAGCTTTTTGCGCGAAAGCTTTTTTAATGCGATTGCTAGTAAAAGCAAAAGAAGGTTTAGCAGCTATAAAAGAATTGTTTCTAGCACTTAAGTCGTAAAACGGATCTTCGTTTTAAAACTAAGCTAATGCACTCGCTTAGCTCGTCGATTGTTGTATTGCTTTTAAAGCAGTTTTAAAATAATTAGCGAACGAAAGAAAAAGGTTTAAAAAGATTAAACTTATTAAAAGCTGTTAGTACTTATGCTAATATTATTAAGAACGATGCTTTTGTTTATTTCGGATTAAATAGCCGAAGTAAATTTGATTGCGTTTGCTAAAGAAAAATTTGATTAATAAATATTTATTAATTATAAATCAAAAACATTACCGGATCGAGGTCTAAGAGATAATAAGTACTAGTTTATATTTGCGCGAAAGTTTGTTAGTGTTTAAAAAGCGTTACTTAAAATGATAGAAATTAGCAATTATTAATTAATAAAGTAATTAATACTTACTAGCTTGACTTTAAGAAATTCGGCGAGAAAAAGACGAAGATAAATCGGTTCTTTATTATAGACTTGCAATACCGCGCAGAGTTTTAGGAATTTTTATAAATGCTTATTAGCTATTTGCAATTGATTTATTAATTAATTTACTAATTAAATATTAACCGGATAGCTGTCGAGTTGTAATAGCGCGGCGCTCAATAAAAGTAAGGTCAAGAATTTCTGTAAATGCTTATTAGCTATTTGCAATTGATTTATTAATTAATTTATTAATCAAATACTAATCGGATAGTTGTCGAGTTATAATAGCGCGGCGCTTAGCAAAAGTAAGGTCTAGCGCATCCGTAGCTAATTAAGCTTTGCTAGATTAAAGATAAAGATTTGCGCTAAGCAAAGTAACTGAAAAAGTATTAATAATACTTCGATTAATTAAATATAAACTTACTTTATTTACTTTGCAAATTTAAGTTTTTTTCTTTTAAGCTTTCGCCGCGTATTATATCTGCTTTACTTTCTTGTGCTTCGTCCTTATTTGCTTGACCTTTAGCCGCTTGACCCTTAGCCGCTTAACTTTCAGCCGCTTAACCCTCAATCGCTTGATTCTCAATTGCTTTATCAATTAACTTATCTTGGCTTGCGTTATTTCCTTTAGCCGTAATGCTTAGTATATCGGTAGAAAAAGGTCGGTCCGAAAGAAAAGGTTCGTTTAGTAAAGAAGCTATTTAAAAGTATTAATAAAAAGACCTAATCGCGATAATTTAGTTTACGATCAATAAGTTGATAATTTTAAACAAAAAAAGGACGACCTTATAAAGCAATGAATAGCGTTGTATTCAAAAGCGTAGCAAATAAGAAAGCGATAGTTGTAATTGATTATTAAGTAATAATAAAAAAGAATCAGACTTTACTTTATAAAGTAAAAATTACGCGAGGCGGCCGCCTTATTTTAGCTGCGGCCGCTTTATCTTAGCTGCGGCTGCCTTATCACCTCGTGAATTTATTAACGGCCGCGCTAAAATGTTTTAAAAATAAAATATACGAGTTTACTTTTAATCTTAACACTTTTATTCTATTACTTTTTGTCGGTATATCCATATCGACCTTAGCTAGTAGTAGTAGTAGTAGTAGTAGTTGGGGAAGCTCACCCGTGAACCATGGTTCACGGGCCACTTGGCATGCCTCGCTTAGCATGTCAGCAGTCAGGGGACCCCCAACTTGACAAGTAAATCTATTAGCTAGCTAGTGCACGTGATTCCTTCTAATCGTATAGAAGGAATCAGCTCCCCTGAGCCTTGGGGAGCAGACAGAATTCAGATACCTTATCAACCGAGTGTTTTGCAATTGCAAGTACTTTGACGACCGTTACGATCTTACGAATATATATTCTTAATCGCTTAAAAGCAATCCAACACTGATCAGTGGTTGATTTACTACTAAGTGATCAATCACAAAGAAGCTAGGAATACTCTATAGCGAGGATACCTTTTACTACGATACCTCCTTTCTTTTATAACGGAAGAGCGATTCCGTACTAAGTCGCTTCCTATACTACCGATTTTTTCTTATTCTTACGGAAGAGTGATTCCGAATTAAGTTACTTTTATATAACCTTTAAAGCTGTAGAGCCGCGCCTGCTACACATAACAAACCCAACTAATACGATCGATCTACGTACGAGCAGATAACAATTATGGCCGATCGAGCAACTGGATTTTTAGGTGGGGAGTCCAGCCGACAAGGAGCAGTAAGGTATTATACCCTTCGAGTCTTATTACCACCCACGGAACCTCTAGCTATTCAGCCAAAACAAACCCTATACCTAGGACTCTTAAGCCTTTCGGAAGGGCCAGATGACGAGATGTCGGGCATCTTATTTGACTTAAACGAGCTGCCATACGCAAGGCTAGATAGTGAGATCACGGCTCGAGCGATGGTGAGGGACTTCCTGGATGCGAAGTGTAGAGGGCTGAGGGATTACGACTTGTGGAGCTTATTCCGGCACGCGTTCTTACGCTGGGATTGGACCAGTTTTACGATGACGAGGGATAATACGGGACGAGGCCTTAAGTATGTTATCTTTATTGGCCTTAGGGAACACTTGCTGTCTAAAGGCGTGTGGTGCCCCTTAAAGCAAAGGGGCTACGCCAATGGGATGGTCAAGCTCTTGAACGACGAGCGGCAGCACTAGTGGACCCTCGAGAAGATAAAGGAGCAATAGGCAACACCTTTAGGTCTCGATTCAAGGTGGACCGCCGAAAACCTTACGGACGACGAGGATACTACACCTTAACCACCTCTACCCTCGCGCAGTCTAAAAGGGAAGGAAAAGGAGGCCTTAAGCAGGAGGGAAGAAGGGGAAGAGATTCGGAGGTTACGCGAAGAGTTTTTAAAGGAAAGGAGCGATATGGAACGAAATATGGAGGCTATAGCAAAGCAAATGGCGGAATTACGGACTTACGTTATACAATCTAACGAAGGGCTACGACGAAGTACTTCAGCGTACTCATCCTCAATTCATCAACCTCATCAATCGCTACGCAATACGCCAACCATACAAGAAGAGCCAAAATCATCTTAGCGACCTTTAAACCCTTTTCTTAAGGGCTATAGCCGAATTTTCGAAAAACCAAGACCGAGTAGCAACAAAAACGGTCTTGAGATCATCATCGGACCAGATAATAATCGAGGCCACGAGAGCTATACGCCAAAAGAGGACTCGCCAAAACCTGAGAGCATTCCGGACAAAATCAGCTCTTACTAGGGACAGCGTGCAGATTTCCGTGCCCAGCCTCAGCAACTCGAGGGGGGGATCCAGCACCTTCGGACGTACCGGCAAGCTACTTATATCTCTCAAGAGGCTACGTATTAACAAGAGAGAGACTAAGGGTATAAGAATCGCTAAGGGCAAGCCTAAGGATACGGATATCACTAAGCTAGAGCATTAGCCGGTGACCCGAATGACCTTAGCGATCTTAGCGATGATCGACGAAGAGGAAACGGGGGAGATTGGCAAGGAGATCGAGGACACGGATACGGAAAGGGTAGGAACGGTCCCTCTAGACTACTAAAGGGATTCGGAAACGGACCCTTAAAGGACCCCGGATCCGGAAATGAGCCTCTTAGGGACCCTGGAAGAGGACGGACCATCGGCAATTATATCGGTAACCCTGTACCGATCCGACTATTAGCTAAGCACGGCACGCTTGCGTACGGCACTCTAAGCGCCTTTGACGATGATAGAGACGATTTCTCTAAGCTAAGAGCAACGGACCCTCACTTAAAGGCAAAGGAGTTGGCCTTGTTTGCAAGAAGCTTTCTTAAGGAACTGAAGTATTCGGGACCCGACGATGACTTCAAGACCTAATTGAGTATTTTCGCTAACTAAGCAAGTCGGTACGGCCTGATATTCGACGATTATTTAGCAGCGTTCTTAATTATGCTTACGAGGGAGGCTATAACCTTCTATTACAATTATATGATCAAGGCCAGGCTTCCGACGTTCAAAGCAAACGCTATTGCTGTGAGGGACCACTTCGAGACTGACCACCGGCGGCAAGCAAAATACGACCGTTAAGAAGAAATTTCGCTAGATTTGGTCAGGAAGGAGAATCCAGGGACCTCGCTTAGCGAGTGCTTTGAGAAGCTCGCTAAAGAGCTTAAGGGCATTTAAGGCTTTTTACGACCAGGTTTGAAGGATGATCGAAGTCTTGCTGACAAGCTGTATTCAGCTTGTAAAAACGTGCCAGAGACCACGATTGCACGAATGAATCCTGCTTTTACCTTTACCGCGGCAGTTGTTGACATTCGTCGAGCAATTGCGTTTGCTACTAAGACCTCTCGACCTCTCGCCAAGGCTAGAGCTTACGCGAGCTCTAGCGAGCTACACGATCACACCTGCTTTCAGCACGCCTCAGAAGCTGACTCCGATTTGGACGAGGAATACGAATGCTTTATTCAGGACCGCCAATACTTCGAAGGTAAGAAAGCTGCCAAGGCTATTAAGGGTGAGAAAAGGTGTTTTGTTTGCAAAAAGCTAGGTTGCTAGAGCATTAACCACACCTTCGACGAGAGGAAGGCATCCGTCGCCAAGTTCCAAAGCTTTAAGGACGCAAAAAGGGTGACGAGGAATAAATTCTCTTAATACGTGGCGTCGATCGAAGGTTTGCCGCTTGTATTTACGGAAGAATTCGATCAGTTTATCGTAGGCTTACTAGACGAGCCACTCGAATCGGGCAGTTACGCCAACATGTCCGAAGGTTTTGTGATTACCCACGGCACTTTTGACGCTAACGAAGTATACAAGCAACTAGAGATTCAGACGGCATTCCACGCTTTTACTAGCCAAGTGGAGACTTAAAAGATGACCGGGCAAGATCCGCGTATGCTCGCGGGCAAAGCAGAGACCTATATAGCTTTTAAGTACTTTGAAAACGTGTTCATGGGCCTTATGATTGACAGCGGAGCAGCCAATTTTTTTACCGCTGGCTTGCCTTAGCTACGAGCATTTTAAAAGAAGTACCCCGAGGTCCAATTGGATACATCTCGAGCAAAGGAGAAGTCCGTTAAATACGGCATCGGCTCGGCTACCTTTATTAAAGCAGTTACCTTAGAAATACCTTTGGGTCAAGTGGAGTTCTACGTTGTGGAGAGCGACGTACCCTTTTTATTCTTATTAGCTGACATAGATAAGCATAAGGTGATCTTAGATAATTTGCGGAACGTGCTAGTCTAAGGGAAAAAGGAAATACTAGTGGTAAAGATATTTAGGCACGTGTGGATGCTATTGAGTAAAGAGCACGCTGCTACCTATTATAGTACCGAGGGCGAGACCGTTTATTGCTACTTTACGGAAGAGCAATTGAGAACCATCCACAAGCGTTTTGGCCACCTTTTAGCAGGTCGATTTGCTGCTGTTCTTAAGAGGGCCGGGCACGAATTTAGACGGGATTTGCTCTACAACATCCAAAAGTTTTGCTACTATTGCTAAGTATTCGGACGTTCTTCGAGGAGGTTTAGTATCAGACTTAAGGATGATACTGACTTTAATGATACGGTATACGTGGACGTAATGCACCTTGACGGCAAGAACGTATTATACGTCGTCTGCGATTCTACTAATTTTCAAGCCGCCACTTTCTTTAAAAGCATGTCCGCATAGCACTTACTTAAGGGATTTAATAGATACTGGGTCAATACTTACGTCGGACCCTTTACAAACGTCGTGCACGATCCCGGAACCAACTTCAATTCGGCAACGTTCCGAGGCTACTTTAAGGGTATTAGCAGCACCTTAAAGCAGATGCTTGTAGAAGCTTATTATAGCGTCGGGCTAGTGGAACGCTACCACGTCCTTGTGCGACGCGCCTTTGAGATCGTCACAAAGGAGCTTCCAAAAGCCTTAAAGGAGGACCGGCTTTAAATGGCCATCAAAGCTATCAACGACACGGCGGGACCTAATGGCCTGGTCCTTACGCTTCTCGTTTTTAGCACCTTATTAAGGCTGACGGAACAAGATCGACTTGCCGCGTCTATCTAAGAGCGTGCTGCTGCTATCAACAAGGCTATGAGGGAAGTACGAAAATGCCACGCTGCGAGGCAGGTTAGGGACGCGCTCAAGAGGAGGAATAGCCCAATTACGGAGCATACCTTAGACCTCCTTATTGGCTTACGGGTGCTCGTATGGCGAGAAAACCAAGGGTAGAAGGGCCCCTTTCAGCTGCTTAGCAGGCAAGGGCATACGTGCATAATGGCATGTCCGAGGCTTACGGAATTCAGGTCAACCTCAGTAAAACCTTACTATTCTGAAGTTGAAAAGCTGCCAGAGGAGTTGCAAGTACCTAAGGTAAAGGTAGAAGAAGATCAAAGCGAAGGCGAAAAAGAGCTGGAAATACGAAATTCGCCTAAACCTTAACATTCGCTTAATCCACCGAGGTCGCTTAATCCAAGAAGCTCGCCTAAATCAGCAAACAGCCCTTCTAACCCTCAACTTGTTAATCCCTAGAAGTTAATAATACTAATAGTCTAGATACCTTACTAGAAGTACGATCTTAGTATCTCGACCGTGCTCGACGAAGAGGAGGGCGATTCTTACGTTCTATTTACCAAGGACTTCGAGGTGTTGATTACCGACAAAGAACGCCGGGATCATGAGCTCTTAGCTAAGCTACGAGCCGAGGGAATCATTAAGAGCCCCGGGGCACTATTTCAAGAGTCTAGAGCAAAGGAATTGGCTGGATTGATGGCTTAAGGCATCCTTTAAGTGATCTCGAGCACCGACTTACGCGCTAAAAGCGCTAGGATCTTCGGATCTAAGTTTGTTAATGAGATCAAGGGCAAAGGAACACCAACGCTATACGAAAAGTCTCGTATGGTAGTCTAAGCCTTTTAGGACAAGGGCAAAACGAAGGTACTCATCGAGTTACTTACGGTGCAGCGAGCGGGCCAAAGACTTTGTTGTGCTCTAGCTCCTTCTTTAATAAAGGACTACGAGTGTCAAGTCTGTGGCAAGGATATCATTCAGGCTTACACTTAGTCAGGCACGAAGCTCATTCGAATAATCGTCGTGCGACCACTTAAGGAGATCACTTATCGATTCCCCTTCGGCACTTTGTTCCTTATGATTGGCCTTTTGTATAGGATCCTCGAGGCAAGAACGCATTAGTATAAGCGTTTTTCAAGGCATTTTACGGACAACCTCGGGATAAGGCAATCGAGCTTTGATTCTTGCTTCTTTGTGTCAACTAATAAAGATCAGCTAAGAATAGCTGCCTTATAGACGGATGATGTTCTTATGGTTGTTAATCTAGCTATGAGGGCAAGGGAAGAGAGGGAGCTGGTTAAATCCAAGCTGAAGAGCAAGGAAATAGAGACCCTTATACACGCCGAGCCAATGATTTTCAATAGATGCAAGCTATCCTTGGATAAGGAAAGGTTCGGATTGTCAGTTGGGCAAAAGGGGCAAGGTGAGAGGCTTGCAGTGATCAAGCTCGATTTAGCCACACGGGCTAAAGAGTACTTGGAGCAACGTGCCCGAAGGGCGTATTTGGCTATTATTTGCTACTTAAAGGCATCTTGCGCTTTATCGATGGCCGCCTAGCACCAAGAACCGAGGGACGAGGACTATAAAGCCTTTAATAAAGTGATCTAGTAGCTGATCGATTACCTAATTCGAGGGATCTACTACGTGCCCTTGGACTTAAAGACTGCGAAGCTCTTTGTGTTCGTAGACGGAGCGTTTGTTAATAACGCTGACCTTAGCTCTTAGATCGATTTCGTAGCTATCTTTAGCAATGAGGCTTACGTAAGTGAGAACGAGTTCACTTTGACGAGTAATATCTTATATTAAGTGTCACAGAAGTGCAAGAGGGTGATAAGAGCAGTATTAGCTTTTGAGCTATACGCGATGTCCTTAAGTATCGATATAGCTATTGCTATGTCGACTACCTTTGCTTAAATCACGGCTTAGCTAAGAATCCTTAACTTCTTCGTAGTCGTGTGCACTGACTCTTACTCGCTTTACGAATGCATAGTAAAACTAGGGACCACTAAGGAGAAGCGTTTAATAATCGATATTATGGCTATTCGGGAGTCATACGAAAAGCGAGAGCTTTCTGAGGTACGCTAGATCGGAGGCAAATCTAACCCTGCTGACGCCATGATCAAAATCGGGGCTAATATCTCTTTGCAAGAGCTAGTTTTAACTAATACCTTGAAGGTGCAAGTCGATGGATGGGTGGAAAGGCCGCTGTAGAAGGAAGAGGGAGATTGTTTTTCCTTTGTTTAATTACCTCCTTTTTTTCGGTCGATATAGTAGTTAGCAAAGCACTATTTGCTAAAGAGAGAGTTGCCGGTGTCGGTATATCCATATCGACCTTAGCTAGTAGTAGTAGTAGTAGTAGTAGTTGAGGAAGCTCACCCGTGAACCATGGTTCACGGGCCACTTGGCATGCCTCGCTTAGCATGTCAGCAGTCAAGGGACCCCCAACTTGACAAGTAAATCTATTAGCTAGCTAGTGCACGTGATTCCTTCTAATCGTATAGAAGGAATCAGCTCCCTTGAGCCTTGGGGAGCAGACAGAATTCAGATACCTTATCAACCGAGTGTTTTGCAATTGCAAGTACTTTGACGACCGTTACGACCTTACGAATATATATTCCCAATCGCTTGGAAGCAATCCAACACTTTTGATTTTACTTTAAACAATTACTCTTAACGTTTAGCTTTCTTATAATACTATTCAATATAGCCGCTTATCAGCTTGATTCGATAAAAGGTATCATTGCAAATACAGATCAACTTGATTTAATAGAAAAGATTAAAAAATCTATAATAAAAATCATTTTCTTATTTACTAATTTATTTACTAATTAAAAACGTCTTTCTTAAAACGCGGCCGATACGACGGCAATCGTAGCGGCAAGCAATCCGATGCTAAGAAACCTTGGCAAGCGCAAAGTAAATATTTTTTTTACGTAATATTTTAACTTTTATTAATTTATTAATTTTTTTTAAAAAAGAAGGCTAAAGAAAGGCTAATTATCAATCAATCTTTATACGATAAAGGCCAATGCTCGTATAGCAAAGCTGAAACAAGATCCTTAAGCAAATAAGCTTCGAAAAGCTAAAGGACGAGATCAAGCGGCCGTTAATCAGCTTTTTGCAATTTAAAAACAAACTCTAGAATATTCTTAAGCATTAAAAGCTGAAAGGAAAACTCGATAAGCCGAAATGCGAAAGAATCTTATAAATAAACGGTACTTTTTCTTTTCTTTGATTTATTAAGCAATTTACTAATCGATTTTAAAAAAAATCGAAGCATTTACGCAGATAATCTTGTTATACAAGCCGCTTCTTTTACAATTAGATTTAATAATAGAAAATACTTGAATAGCGATTAGGTTGATAAAGCATTTAATTCAAACGAAAAGGTTTATAAAGAATTTAATTTGCGAAAAGACGAAAAAGAAAATAGTGATATACTTCGCGATAGATACGTCTCGATTATCGATAAAGAGATAAAGAAGGTCATTCGGCAATTAGCACGTTAGCACGCATAAGTAAGCATTTATTTCATTTAAATATTTATATTTTGCTAATAATATAAAGTTACGTTATATAATAACCGTTTAGCAATTTCGTCGCTATTAGCAAAGTATAGCGCGGTCTTTGTTAATAAAGTGCCGAGCTGCTAATTTAAAGAATAAGGGAGCTTTCTTTGAATTGATAGCTTAGGATTTAGTAAGCACGGTTTTAAAACGAACTAAGTAAGAATTCATTTTATTATGCTTTTAATCAATTGAATTAATATTATAACTTTTAGTCTTCATTTAATCAAGCTTCTTTACGTTTATTTTTCCTTTAATAAAAAGAAGTATTAACGAGCTAAAATTAAAGCAAATACCGATAAGATTGAATACGAATTGCTAGGTCTAGCCGCTTAGTAGAATATAAAAGGATTCGAAAAGAATATTGAATTTGAAGAAGCTGATTGCGATCTTATTTTATTTCAATGCGTTATGCAATTGATTTGGAAAAAGGACGAGCCAGCTCTAGAGTTGTTTTACGGCGTTAAGGATAGCGATACGGAATTAAGATCATTCTTAAACTTAATGCTTAAGTTTATGTAAAATAGAATTCACGATTAATTACAAATTTTGTATTTTACAAAAATACTTCTATTCATCTTATTCATTAATTATATTTATTAATAATACTTATTAATAATATTTACTTATTATATTTACTAATCATATTTACTAATTATATTTATTAATTATATTTACTAATTATATTTACTAATTATGTTGGATTGCTTCTAAGCGATTGGGAATATATATTCGTAAGGTCGTAACGGTCGTCAAAGTACTTGCAATTGCAAAACACTCGATTGATAAAGTATCTGAATTCTATCTGCTCCCTAAGACTCAAAAGAGCTGATTCTTTTTATATGATTAAAAGGAATCACGTGCACTAGCTAACTAATAGGTTTACTTATCAAGTTAGGGGGTCCTTTAACTATTAGCATACTAAGCGAAGCATGCTAAGTGGCCCGTAAACCATAGTTCACGAGTGAGCTTCCCTAACTACTATTACTACTACTACTACTAGCTAGCTAAAGTCGATATAGATATACCGACACCGACAACTCTCTTTTTAACAAGCAATACCTTGCTAATTACTATATCGACCGAAAAAAAAGGAAAGTAATTAAACAAAAGAAAATCAATCTCACTTTACCAAACCTCACTCTCCTTTCTCTTATAACGGCCTTTCTACCTATCCGTCTACTTGCACCTTTAAAGTATTAGTCAAAACTAGCTCTTGCAAAAAGGTATTAGCCTCGACTTTAATTATAACGTTAGCAAGGTTAGATTTTCTTTCGATCTAGCGTACTTTAAAAAGCTCTCGCTTTTCGTATGACTCTCGAATAGCTATAATATCGATCATAAAGCGTTTCTCTTTAATAGTTCTTAGCTTTATTATATACTCGTAAAACGAATAAGAATCAATGCACACAACCACGAAGAAATTAAAAATCTTTAGTTAAGCTATGATTTAAGCAAAAGTAGTCGATATAACAATAGTTATATCGATACTTAAAGACATAGCGTATAGCTCAAAAGCTAATACTGCCTTTATCACCTTCTTATACTTTTATAACACTTAATAAAAGATATTACCCGTTAAAGTAAACTCGTTTTCACTTACGTAAGCCTCATTACTAAAGATAGCTACGAAACCGATCTAAAAGTTAAGGTCAGCGTTATTAGTAAACGCTCCGTCTACGAACATAAAGAGCTTCGCTGTCTTTAGGTCTAAAAGCACGTAATAAATCCTTCGTATTAAATAATCGATCAGCTACCAGATCACTTTATTAAAGGCTTTATAGTCTTTATCCTTCGGTTCTTAATGCTGGGCAGCCATCGATAAAGCACAAGATGCTTTTAGATAGCAAATAATAGCTAAATACGCTTTTCGGACACGTTGCTCTAAGTACTCTTTAGCCCGTATAACTAAATCGAGCTTAATTACGGCAAGCCTCTTACCTTGCCCCTTTTGCCTAACTAACAGTCCGAACCCGTCTTTATCTAAAGATAACTTGCATCTATTGAAAATCATTAGCTCGGCGTATATAAGAGTCTTTATTTCTTTGCTCTTTAGCTTAGATTTGACCAATTCCCTCTCTTCCTTTGCTCTCATAGCTTGATTAACAACTATAAAAACATCGTCCGTCTATAAAGCAGCTATTCTTAACTGATCTTTATTAATTAATATAAAAAAGCAAAAGTCAAAGCTCGATTGCTTTATGCCGAAGTTATTTATAAAATGCCCGGAGAAACGCTTATATCAATACGTCTTTGCTTCGAGGATGCCGTATAAAGGGCCAGTCATAAAGAACAAGGTGCCGGAGGGAAATCGATAGGTGATCTCTTTAGGTAGTCGCACGACGATTATTCGGATAAGCTTCGTGCCCCCGAAGTATTAGCGGTCCTGAATAAAGCATTCGTATTCCTCATCCAAATCGGAGTCAGCCTCTAAAGCGTGCTGAGAACAGGTGTGATCGTGTGGCTCGCTAAAGCTCGCGTAAGCTCTAACCTTAGCGGGTCGAAAGGTCTTAATTGCAAACGAAATTGCTCGTCGTATATCGGCAACTGCAGCGGTAAAAGTAAAAGCAAGATTCATCCGCGCAATAGTCGTCTTTAACACGTTTTTACAAGCTGAATATAACTTGTTAGCAAAACTCTTATCGTCTTTCAGACCTGGTCGTAATAAGCTTTAAAGTCCCTTGAGCTCCTTAGCGAGCTTCTCAAAGCACTCGCTAAGCGAGGTCCCTGGATTCTCTTTCTTGACCAAATCCAGCGAAATTTCCTCTTAGCGGTCGTATTTTGCTTGCCGCCGGTAATCAGTCTCGAAGTGGTCCTTTACCGCAATAGCGTTTGCTTTAAACGTCGAAAGCCTAGCCTTAATCACGTGATTATAATAAAAGGTTATAGCCTCTCTTGTAAGCATAATTAAGAACGCTGCCAAATAGTCGTCGGATATCAAGCCGTACCGACTTGCTTGGTCAGCGAAAATACCCAATTAGGTCCTGAAGTCATCGTCGGGTCCCGAATACTTCAATTCCTTAAGAAAGCTTCTTGCGAACAAAGCCAATTCCTTTGCTCTTGAGTGAGGGTCTGCTGCTCCTAGCTCAAGGAAATCGTCACCATCATCGTCAGGGGCGCCGATATGGTTGCCGGTGGTCCGTTCTCTTCCAGGGTCCTTAAGAGGCTCATTTCCGAATCCGGAGTCCTTTAAAGGTCCGTTTCCGAATCCCTTTGGTGGTCTAAGAAGCTCGTTCTTACCCCCTTCGTATCCGTAGCCTCGATCTCCCTGCCAATCCTCCCCGTTTCTTCTTCGTCGATCATCGTCAAGATCGCTAGAACCATTCGAGTCACCGGCCGAGGCTTTAGCTTAATAATATCCGTACCTTTAAGCACGCTCTTAGCGATTCTCATACCTTTAGTATCTTTTTTATCGATACGTAGCTTATTAAAAGATCTAAGAAGCTTGTTAATACGTCCGAAAGTGCTAGATCCCCTTTTCGAGTTGTTAAAGTTAAGCACGGAAATCTGCACGCTGTCCTTAATAATGTGGTGGAGTTGAGGCTCTGTATTTGTTTTGTCCATGTATATAGTACTGATGCTAGGCACCTTTGTCACGTAGGTGCGCTGCATGCTTTAACCCTACTAAGCACGTAGTTAAGTCACGTGCAAGCTTTTATATAAACGAGTAGTTGGTTCTTCTTTGAATCAGCACTACATCATTATATAATATAATACTGTAAACACTTTGCTTGATGGGGTACCTGCTATGGCCATTAAGGCCATACTAGACGGACCTATCTTCTATAAGAAGGCACACATCTCTTAGCTAGAACAATCAACGAGCTTTTTACTTACTTTTTCTAACACTTCTTTTGTGAGACTATAAGGTCTAGCCTCAGAGCTAAGCTTTTATTCAGCGCATCTTTTTAAGTGCTTTTACATTAGTGACTTACGCAAGGATTTAAACTTTTAGTCTTTATCTTTATATAACTTATTACAATCGCTTGATTCGCAGTCAAGTTGATCTTCGTTTATCATTTAGCATTTCTTTTTACTATTACAACTTCAAAACAATTAAAACTTTATTCTCGATAAGTTCGGACACCGAAATGCCGAAATAGCCGAAGTGCAATATTTCGGCTCTCCGGTAAAAACTCTTTTTTATTATTAATAAGAAAGAATTTTCACTTATTAATAAAAATATCTTTTTATACTTTAGCTTTTATTTTAAATTAAAGCAATTAATATAGTCCGGAGTTGTTAGCGAAGCTAATCAATTGATTTTTAAGTTTTTTATAATTTTGATTTTAATCATTAGTTTGCTTTTGCAAAAAGTCTATTCTTTTTAATCTCGGATTGAAAATACTTTGCGAAAATCGCTTATTTTACTCGTGAACTCGGTTCACGAGTTAAAATCAAATAATTTAAAAATCTTTTATTAACCCGATTATTTTTAACACACATATATATTTGATTTTTAAAATACTAAAAACTTTCTTAAGATTTTTGATATCGAAGTCGGCGCAGAATTACTTCTTTTTTCGTTAGAATCTTTTAAATTTATTAAATCTTTTAATCGTATTCTTATAAGCTTCGGACCGTTTTTATCTTACTTCAACTTTTAACTTGAACTTTTATCGCTATTTCTATTAGAAACACTTGCTTCGGAAATGCTTTTTAAAATGAACACCGGTCTTAAGATTTATACTACTCTTTTTCTTTTTGCTTCTTTTGCTCTTCTATTAAGCTTTGCGCTAGTTATGATCGACCTTGCTATCTTTTACGCTTTTATGACTATTCGTATGCTATTGCTAAGCGCTTTAAGAGCTTTTTGCTTTAATAGTGCTAATATCATCGACTTTATCGAGAAGTACAAAGAAACTTATAATGACTTTAATATCTTTAAAAATAATCGGTTTATCAAACTCTTTTGTTATTGCGATAATTTTCGTAAAAAGGTTATTAAAAGCTTGCTCGAATAAAAAGCTAAAAAAGATTAAGCTGCTTTTGTTAAAGCTTTAAAAGCCGAGTTTCGTAAAAACGATACTTAGCAGATCAAAGACTTAATCGCTTTCTTACGAGAATTTGCTATGTAAAAACAAGATGTTAATAACTTAAAAAACTACTGTCGCACTTTCTTTTAAGTTTTCGAAAAGCTTACTTTAATGCACTTTTTAAGCAAGACCGAACAAAGCCGCTTGTTCTTCTTCGGATTGCTTATCGGAATTCAAAACAAAACGATTAAGCATTATAAGGTCGACGAACTCGACCTAGACTTTTATGCTGCTTTCGATGACTTCGTTGTATTCGCTTTTAAGACCGATTAAAGTGCTAAGACTATCGAAGCTATAAATCGAGAAAAGTTTCTTTTAATTAACTTTATTAAAGATATTCGGACCTTGGTTAAAGAATACACCGAGCTAGCTAGCGTTCTTAAGTTTGTTAAGAAAGCCTTAGTAATAGTGCCGTTTACTCGTGAACTACGGTTTATAAATGAAAAAAAAGAAATTGATAAAGTAGGTTTTATAATTAAGAAGTTTTTTAACTTATAAATTAATACGATTTATAATCGAATTAATTACTTTAAAAATCAAGTCGTTAACTTAACTTTTCGACGCTTTATTTAATTTTAATTTTAAGTTCGATTCAAAGACCGCGACGAAGCTTTTATTAAGTATACCGCTTAAGATGCTCGAAGTAAAGTCAGCTTCGAAGGTAGAGTTTAAATTATTGCTATCGGCTACGGATTATAAAAACGAAGAAAAAAAAAAGTAAAAGATACGAGAGCTAAATGCAAGATTATAGCTTTTACGAGAACTCCGGAGATACAATTCAAGCTTTTTATCAATATCGGGATGAATATAAAGCTTTTAAAAATATAATTAATAAAAGATATATTTATATTAATGATTACGGACGCTTTTGCTTAAGACTTAAAAGGATCGGTGCTTTTATCATTTAAAAAAAGCAAAGAAAGACTTGATTCAGATCTATCGTGCTAGACGTTCGTAAGACGGAATACGATAACATCTTAAAAAATCGGCTTATTAACGGACTTAAGACTTATAAACACTTACTCTCTTATTAACAACTAATCTAATAGCTAGCTTAGTATTAGCCCGATCAAAATGCTTAGCAATTAATTAACTAGCTAAAAGAGCTTATTATTATTCTTAAAAGACTAGTCGATATTAAAAATATTAATGCTATAAAATTGATTAACACGCTTAATTACTTATCTAGTATAGAAGTTGCTTCGGTCGAGATTAACGCCGCCGTAAAAGATAAAGCTAAAAAGCTTTTCTCGCTTTTAAAAGGATCTAAGCTTATTAAGATTAAAAAGAATATCCGATAATAAAAAGAAAAGAACTACGGCACTCTTAAGGCCCGTGCTTCTTAAGAATCGAGTACTATTATAAAAATAGACTCGAAGGATAAGTTATTCGATAGTGTAATTAAAAAAAAGTCTTTTAGACCTTTTAAATTAATTAGAGCCGACGAAGCTATAAAAGATATAGAAAGAGAGATTAAGATCACTTAACGAGTGTTAAAAAAAAAGAAGAAAAGGACTTATAAACGAAAGAAGTTTATTGACTTTTATGTTATTATTAAAGCTTAAGAAAAAGCAGTAGCGGCGATTATGAAATCGAAAATCGAAGTTTAAATTAAAGACTTGTTCGGACTTAGCTCTCGCTTCGATAAGTTATTAAGCTATTACATTTTAATAGTCTTCGATGCTAAAGAAAACGTAAAAGTCTTTTAAAGTAAGTTTATTTTTATGAACGCTTTAATTGTTAAACGTTTAAGTCGGAATGAAAAAAGCAAGCTAAACTTTTTAACGACGCAAATCCGCAAACAACTTATCGCTTGCAATTGCTTCGAAGTAACGATAAAGACTTTAAAAGTTTTTATTAATATCGACGGTATAGTTAAGAGCAAATCTCTTTTCGATAATAGATTTGAAGTTAACGTAATGAACAAAAAGGTAGCTAAGATAGCTAAACTACTTATTATAACGGATCGAGCTTTAATTTATATTATCGTATCTAAAGATCTTTACAATTTCGATAAGTAAATAAACGACGTCGAAGTTATTATCGACGGAATTATTAATTACGCTGATTTTTTTATTATTAATAATAGCAGTTACGAGGTTATTTTAAGTATGCTTTTCTTTTTAGAATCTTAACTTTCTTTTTTTTACTTCGATAATAATACGATAAAAGCCTCTTTTTAAAATTACGATCGATTTACTTAAAGACAAATTATTATTATAAAAGACAAGTCGGATTTAATCGAAGACTCGAAAAACTAATCGCTAGCATGCAAGCTAAGATAAATGCTAAGCTAAAGAAAAGCTTAGAAAGAAATTCCGCTCGTGAATTATAGTTTACGAGTAGATCGGCATAAAAATAATAAAATCATAAAAAAACAATTTAACTTAATATTAAGCAAAGCTTATTAAAATCAAAAATATTAAAAATATTTGCAATTAAACTCGATAAATCGGAAAATTTTATATTTATTATCGATAACGATAAAGACCTTTTAAAAGAGAATATAATAGAAGTTAATACGATATATAAAAAGAAAGCGGAGAAAGTCAAACCGATAGATTTGAAAGTGTCGGATAAAAAGATATTTAAAAGAATCGACGATTAGTTTAAGTAAGATAAAAAAGCGAAACTTTTTAAGCTTAAAAGACTTTTTTCGGAATACTTTACTAGCAGGTTTTTAAACTTAAAAGTTAGATCAAGATTAACGAAAAAACGATTTAAAGCACTTACGATTAGCTTTTAAGTCACTTTAAAAAAAAAAAAGCTGCTTTATTAATGCTTTTTAAATCGAAAAAAAGCGATAGCTTAGAATTTTATTTATTTTAGCTAAGTTCGGAAAAAAGTCATGCTACTTTAAAAGATTAAGACGGTGCTTTACGAAGCTTAACAAGAAAAGACGTTTACGATACTGAAAGCTTTATAAGAAATAGTTATCTTTATATTAAAAAAACGATTAAAGTAAAAAGTCTTCGAATTATATTAAAGTCTTTATCGAAACAAGTAGTTTATTATAGCAAAGAAAAAGAAAAAGAAATACAAGCTAATCATTGCTATAATTAAGATAAACCGTATAACGGTTAAAAACGCTAATATTGCTTCGAACGTAAACTAGTTCTCGAACGAATTTACTAGTTTTACGATAGCTATACTTTTAAACTTCTTTTTTAAATACGATTAATTCTTTTTCGACGTTAAGTTTAAAAACATAACAGCTATTTAAACGCTTATCGGACTGCTTCGGATAACTCGGATACTTATAAGAGTTATCAATTTGATCGCTTAATTCGTTAAAGTCATTTATGAGATCTTTATAGACTGCATTCTTAACGTTTGCTTGCTTTATATAAATGACGTAAGAGTTAAGAGATCGCGATTCTTTTATAATTACGAAAAAGTTTTGCTTGAAATTCGACGATTCGTTTTAAAATATATTTAAAACATTAATAAAGTGCTCGTAAAGTTTAAAAAAGCTAAGACGACCGTCGGAACTAAGTCTTAATACTGTATGCTCGGCTTTAATATCGTTAGATTCGTTATAAATAGCGAAAGACGCTACTTTTAAACCGTTAAAATTAAGAAGATATTAAAATAGATTAAGTGCGAAGATGTATCGGAAGCTTAAGCTTTTATTAAGATCGTAATATATTATAAAATCTAAATCAAAAACTTTTTTACGATTGCCGCTTTAATCTACGCGATTATAAGAAAAAGGGTCGAATTCGAGTAGTTAGAGCTTTAATAAAAAGCGATGAAGCTGCTTAAAGAAGCTTTACTTTTTGCTTTCGCTTTTATTAAGATCGATTATAGCAAAGACGGAAAGAAAATTTACTTGACGGTAGACGTTAGTCTTAAAAGATAAAGAATAGTATTGCAGCAAAAAGACGCCGATAAAAAGCGATATCTTGTTAAGTTCGAAAGTAGTCTTTAAAACTTTGCGAAGAGCAAGTACGACGCGATTAAGCGAGAATATTGCAATGCTTTAAAAGCTATAAAAAAAATAAAAAGCGAATTATATAAAGTTCACTTTATTTTAAAAACCGACGCTAAAGTACTAGTTGATTAACTTAACGGATTAACGAGCGATTTGCTTAAAGCTTTCGTTACGAATTAGATTACGTAAATAAGATTAATAGACTTTAAAGTCAAGTATATCTTTAGAATTAAAAACACGGCAACGGACGGTCTTTTTAAAAAGAAAAGAAAGTATCTTTTAAATATTAAAGAAAAAAAAGAAGAAGATATTAACGATTAAGTTATTAACGAACTAAACATTGTTTTAGTATTCTTGATTAAACGATTCGTAAATTATAGTTTACAAGTTAAAAAGAGAGTTTTAAAGCACGATTACTCGCTCGACTCCGAGCTTATCGCTTAATTCTTTACTACTTTTAAACGCTTTCTTTCGATTAAGACTTACGACTTTTAGAAGTTTAAGAATAAAGCATTCAATTATTTGGTTAAAGATAGTTACTTTTACAAGCGAATAGACAATTCTTATTTAATTAAACTAGTTGTCGACGGAATTTAAAAACGCTATACGGCTATTTCCGACGCTTATCGAGAATCCGGATATAAAAAAGCTAAATCAACTTATTACCGTACGTTAAAACTCTTTTTTTAAAATAGATGCTACGAAGATTGCAAAGCTTTCGTTTAAAGCTATAAGCTTTATTAAAAACGCAAAGCTAAACGAATAAAAAACCTCTTGTACTCGACTTAACTTACTTAAATGTAGTTAAAAGTCAGCTTAGACGTATTACGAGTACTTACTACCGATAAAAAGATGACTTGCTTTATATTAGCTAAGGAAGATCTATTTAAATAATTAAAAAGTCGACTACTTCGATCGGCTAACGCTAAATCTATTATTAAGTTCTTTTAAAAGAATATCGTTTGCCGCTACGGACTATTCGAGAGACTGATTATCGATAAAAGATTCGAAAATAAAGCAATTGCTAAAGCTTTCGCTATTAAGTACAAGATTAAAAAAGTTTAGATCTCGAGCTACAATTCAAAAGCAAATAGAATGATCGAGAAAGGATATAAAAACATCTTAGATAGCTTATCGAAGGTTATAAACGAAAGATTTAAAGATTAAGTTCGCAAATTTAATAAAATGCTCTTTATAATTCGGACTTCGATATACGCACTTATCGGAGTTACTTTTTTCTTTTTAAACTACGGACGAAAAGCTGAGCTACTTTTAAAATCACGATAGCTAGTTTAAAAGTTATTACTATAGCAAAAAGTTCGATTTCGCGCTAACTTGCTTGTTATAAAGTTTAAACAATTAAAACTCCGAGACGAAGATATCGACGAGATTATTTTAAAAAAGAAACGCTATCGATTTGCTGCTAAAGCTACTTAAGAACGAATCAAAGTCTTAAAGTCGGAATCTATTAAAGAAAAAGACTTAGTACTGCTTTACGACGTTAAACGCAGTATCGATATGTCCGCGGACATTAAGCTAGATTATAGATAGCTAAGATTTTATATCGTCTTTAAAGCTTACGATAAAGGATATTATAAGCTTTAAAAAACCGACGAGATTAAGCTTAAAAGCACTTTTATAGCTAACCGCTTTAAGCGATTCTATCGCCGCGATTAAACTTTTTTTCTTTTTAATAAAGACGACGAAGAAAAAGAAAAAGAAGATTCGAGCTTTTTAAACGATTCGGACTTTAGCGAATACGAGCTTTCCGACGACGGCAAAAGTAAACTACTCAACTTAAGAATGACCTTTAGACTTAAGTTTATTAACTTTTAAATCATTCTTTTAATACTTTCGAAAAAACAAAAACTAGCTTATAAAATTGTTTTTTAGTCTGTTTTTTCTTTTACTTTGTTTTTCTTACTTTCGTATCCTCTTTTTATTTTATATTTATTTTATAAAAAGACGTGCTTTAATGATCATTCTCTTTGTTTTAATAAAGAAAGATATTTCTTACGTTTATTCTTTTACTTTTGGACTTGCTTTTTATTATATTTTTTGTTCTTTCTTTGTTCTTTTCACTTTACTAGCTACTCACTTGTCTTATATAAATTGTTCTTATTATTTGATTGTTTTTCATTTGTTTAGGCTTATACGGCTATTTCTTATTTCTTATTTAAGATTGTCCTTTTGTTTTAAGCGTGCTTAACCACGTGTATTCGAAGGTGAACTGCTATTAAAAAGAGTAGGTCCTTTTTATAAATATACTTATATAAGAAAGCTCTTTCTTTTTTTTTCTTAACATTTTCTCTTTTTATATAATAACAATTATAATAACATTATTACTACTACTTTTATTTATAACTATACAATACTATATTAATACTAACGATTTTTAATTATCACTTAATCAATTACTATTATTATCAGCTTTTATTACGTTATCTTATGTTTAGCTCGTGAACCGTAGTTCACGAGTTAAATATGCCTTTTAAGTCAGCCGCCGTTAAAAGAAAAGCTTTTATCCGTGATGCACCTTCTAGCTTATTAATAAGCGAAAAGCAAGCTGCTTTAGCTCGATAATCAAGTTTCGAACTGAAGTTCGAAAGACGAGTTATTAAAACTTTCGATAAGTTCTTTTAGACTTACCGTTAAATAAGCAACTTTAATCAATTAGCTATGCTTAAAGTAGTAACCTCCGACTTTAATAATAAATTAAGTAAAAAAGACGATCTGATCTTATAATACGATTAGTTTTTGCGAGCCGAATGCGTAAAAAAGAATATAAACGCCGAAGACTTCTTTTCGATTTACGATTAGTTTATTATTAAAGTCATCGCTATCTATTCTTTACGCAATAAGAACGCCGAAAGACATAAACGAATTAAAAGAGCTTTCGACAGCGCTTGAAGTTAATTGCTGTATAACGACTACTTTAAAGCTGTATGCATTTTAATCCGCAGCGCTCGCTAATTAAGCGTTATTTTAAAGAACTGCACTTTTAACGCTTACGCTATTTAAGTTATCAACTATTATATTATTGCTTACGTCGCTTTTTAAAAGATTATAACTAATATAGCTCGAAGATGCAAGTTTATTAAACTTAATGCTACGGTAGTCAACCTTACTTGCTAGACATCTTAATTATTCAATACGAAATTTTCAACTTGCTCACAACGACTTGATTTTCATTGCATTCGATTCCTGGAATACGGTTTCCTTAAGAATCCGCTAGAACCAGATCAATAGCTCGTTGCGCTCGCCGCACAGCTCGAGAAATGGTTCTTGTTACTCTATCTCGGTCCTCCGCGGACAATAACAATACTAACAACGCCGATTATACACGGCCTTAAGACGCTGCATCGCCGTCCAACTTTACTTAGCACTCTAAGAAAAGAAGAAGGAACGCTGCTATCAATTTATAACCCTCTCCTTTCGTATTAAGACGAAGAGCATCGACTACTAATACGGCGACGAAAGCTATCGAGAGCTACTTCGACGACATCGACCGCGCGGTTGCTATTAAACGACGTGTCTAGCAGCAATACGCCTTCGCTTTAGACTGGATTATAGACGACCAACTTGACCCCGAATCTCGACACTATGCGCAAGAGTTCTTTAAGAGTCTCTTTACGTTTATGCGTACTCATTTACACGCAACCACCGGGGCAGCCACTCCCCCTCTTCCTTCGACCGCTCCTCACAGCAGCGAGCAAACGGCCCTCTTTAAGTCTGTCTTATAAGCAGATTCCGCGAGGCCCTTGAAGACTTTGAAAAACTTAAAGGCTGCCGCTTAGTCGGCAATCGCTAAGCTGTCCCGATCCTCTTCCGTTATAAGAATAAGACCTGCAAAGACCCGCAAGCCTACGAGCTCTTAAGCCACTCGCAAGTCTTTTAGCGAACAACCCAAGACACGCCAAGACAAGCGAGTCTTGATTCAAGTACTTTCCGCCGCATTCCTAGCTCGTCCCGACAGCTACGCCGCCCGCAAAGTTATTGCCGACAAACTGGACGGCGTCGACATAACCATTATCTTTCGTCTTAAGGCTACTCGCACGGGTTAAGCACTTACCCCGATCAACCTTAAAGCGAAGGACCTCCTTATCATAGACGAGGCCAAAAAAGTGTACTAAGAGGTTTTTAAGGCCACAGGAGCAACTATCCCGGTCAAATAGTATACGTACGCTGTCTAAAGGGTCTTTGCCGAAATCAAGGGCCTCTTCGGTGAGATTTTCAAGACGGCGGAGCATATCGACGAAGAGATCTTGGCCCAAGCCGAAAAAGCCTCGGTGAGCGTCCGCATCTCTTAGCACGGAGCCGACCCGGCGACCGGCTTGACTTGCTAGATGGTCTTTTTCTTAAAAAAGGTCCGCAGCTTTAAGTTGTTCGGCTGCAGCAGCTACTCCCGGTTGGTCGATAAAAAGCAACCTATCAAAAGGCACGACCTTGGCTGCCTCGGCTAATATAACCCGGCCAAGTGCACTCAACACGCACGCTGCTCTTATTGCGGCGAGCGAAGAGACTAGCACGACGGGCCCGACGGCAAAGACTGCACGGCACCCCTTCGCTATGCAAACTACTACGGCTCGTACGAGGCTAGTCACAAGAACTGCCCTGCGGCTCCTAAGCGAGTCAACGGCAAGGTGATCACTTTCACTAAGAAGGAGCTGGGCGCCGTCCGACGACTAAGAGCCCAGGCCTACGTCATTGCCACTGCTTCTGTGACGGAGGAAAACGAACCGACCTCGGCTTCTTAACCAAAGACTCCTGCCATCGGTGTCAACGCGGCTCCCCCTCGAAAAAGACGCGCCCTTGCGGTGCAAAAGCACGAGCGAGCGACTTCCTCTTAGGCCGTCTCCTTACAATCCTTTTCTCAGTCCTTTACGCAAGCTACGAGACCTCTGCGCAGTACGGCTACGCGCAAGAACCTTAACGAAAAGACTCTGATGGACAGCGCCTTTTTTGCTATAGACGAAAGAAGGGACACGCTAATAGCGATATCGGACTATCACGTGGACAACATTACTAGCTTATCTTCTTCGTCTATAAGAAGCTCGAGCATTGCTATTAGCTAAGATGCTTAAAACAACTCTATATGTTAAGCACGCCGATACGGCACCGCGGCACTCGCCGCAATCGACAGCCTTTTAAAGAAATCCAAGTCTGTTGGGCGAACGTAAGCAAAAGGCAGCTATACTATATTGCCTTATTCCACCTTTGCTATTCGGCAAACATTGACGTTATCTGTGTCTAAGAGCCGTACACGCACTCGAGCACTAAAACCTAGAACCACTCGTCTTACGAATGCTATGCTCCGATAGAATCGTAAGATAGTCAAGACGATGCTTAATACTTCGCTGAGCGACTACGAGTGATAACCTACGTGCGCAAAAGCGTAGGTCTTCGCACTTAACAACGCCGTTCTATTCGCAACAAAGATCTCTTATAGGTCGATGTGAACGGCTTCGTTACTTTAAACGTCTATCGGCAACCTTTGATAGACCCGATTATAGACTACATCACCCACCTCGTCCTTCCTTTTAAGTGCCTGATTGAAAAGGACTTTAATGTGTGGCACGATATGTTCGAACCAAAGGTTAAGCTTAAGGGCCGAAGAGAAGACCTTGCGGCCTGGTCTAATGCTAGTAAGATAGACTACATTGGACTCTCGAGCGACCCTACCCATAAAGCTGATCACGTTCTAGACTTGACTTTTTCAAATATCTCGTTTGCTTAAACGACAATTCGCTTCGATCTTTATTCGAGCTTAAACTACGAGACCCAAGTCACGACTATCCTTAGCCGAAGAGTCGTTCCTTTAGAGCGCTTCTAATACCGAGTACCGGACTAAGACTTCGAGAAATTCGCTTCGCTTATAGCGCTAAGCGTAGACTAACTCTTCGACCCGTGGACGATACATTCTACCGAAGAACTCGATCAGCTTGCGATCAGCTTAGCTACTGCTTTCAACTTTGCCTTAGAAGTTGCGGGACAGCCCGCCCGGGAAAAGCTGACGGCTGCACTATAGTGGACGGCAAACTGCTAGATAGCGTACAAGAAACACTTAGCAGCGCGCTCCGTAGTGTACGACGGAGAACCGACCTAAGAAACGCGAGACTGGCTCGCTATAGTTAAGAAAGCTAAAAGGGCTTATTAGACCTACGTGATCGACGGAATGAAATCGAATCAAAACCTATATAAAGTCATAAGCTAGCACAAGCTCACTCCGAACTTGAAATCGCCCCTTTTAATAGTCAACGACGAGGCCATCGAGGACATTAAAGAGAAGGCGGACGCGCTGCGAAAAGGCATCCTTAGACGGTTCAGCGCCGCCGACGACCTCGACTACGATCTACTCGCTAGCTAGGAAGGCACTGGCCGGCTCCTTTAAGATACTACGGTGTTACTAAAAGAAGTAAAGTCTTACGTGATCGGGGTGACAAGCACTTCACTCGAGACGGATAAGATCACCGTACGACTGCTTAAAGCATACTAGCAACACGTCTATCACTTCTTTTATAGCTTCTTTAATAAGTGCTTGGCTCTTCACTATTTCCCGGATGCGTAGAAGCTCGCCGAGGTCTCGATGATCCTTAAGGTAAGGAAAAAGGACAAGACTTTTATCCGCTTTTAGCGACCGATTGCTTTGCTTTCGTGCATCTTTAAAAGACTAGAGCGCATCGTTGCGAAGAGAATTGCGTAGACTGCCCTTACCAACGACGTCTTTAGCCTATAATACGCGAGAGCTCTCCTACGGCGCTTTGCATTAGACTTCGCTTCGTGCTTAACACACGACATCGAGTCCGCACTTGCAACTAGATACTAAGTTATTATAATCACTATAAACGTCCAAGGAGCCTTCGATGCAGTCTTGACCCGTCGCCTCCTTAAACGCATAACGGAGCAAGGCTAGCCGTACCTACTGCTTAAGCTGGTGGAATCCTTTCTTTCAGACCGCAAAGTCAAGGTCCGACTAAAGAAAGAAATCACGGACACTTACGACGTAAAGTGCGGCACTCCGCAAGGATCCTCGCTATCACCGGTGCTTTACATGCTCTACTTAGCTAAGCTACTCAACTAAGACCGGACATTACGCTTCGAATACGCTAACGATATCTGCTTGTATCGCGTCAATCGCACCCTTAACCGGAATATCGCTATGCTTCGAAACGATGTCAATTCTATTATTAAGTAAAGTAACACTTATAAGATCGCTTTTGCTCCGGAGAAGATCGAGATGATACACTTCTCTCGCAAGAAAAGCACGTATGCCCTCTCCTTCGTAATCGATACTATGACCATTCCGTGCATCACTACGGGTCCGAGGGACGAGGACACACTTGCGATACGATAGCTTAAGGTTTGGTTTAACCGCAAGCTGAAGTTCCGCCGATACGTCCGAGAACGGGCGGCTAAAGCTAAGAAAGTCGCCTAGCATATCCGCAGTCTCGCTAAGACAGTCCACGGTCCTTCTGCGGCTTCATTGCGCAAGGCAGTTACTACTTGCGTGCTGCCCTCGGTGCTTTACGGCACGGAGGCGTAGTACGCAAAGCGCTATCGCTCAATCTGCAAGTCCGGAAGACCAAAAGTTGTTAGCGCTCGGGTCGGAAAGATAGTTGACTTTATTGATAAGACGATAACCTTCGCGGCGCGCGGGGTACTCCCGGTCTAGAGAACGATACCAACGGCAACGCTCTTTCGAGATGCCGGGCTCCTTTCCGGCACTACGGCCTTAAAAGAAGCTAAGGCTAAGTTTGCAATAAGACTGAAGACGGTAGACGACAAGCACCCACTGGTCAGCCGGATACTTCTGCGGATCCGACAACGCGGTCGCGGCGCAGGGACTACTAAGATCCTCGAAACCAAGATCTAAAGACTAAGAACTCTCCTTTTAAACGTTCTTCGCCTTCGCTTCGTCCTTCCGCACTTCACATCGAAGAGCAGACGGGACCCGGCGGACGGCAAAACGAAGAAAGAAGCTGCTACCGCATTCGAAGTATAATAGCAACAGCTCCTGCTAAAAGACATCACGATCTTTTTAAACGAGTCAGAACAATACGACCAAAGCAACCGATTAATAAGCTACGAGTACGTAGTCTATCGAGGACGATAAGAGATAAGCCACGAGTACGGCTTTATCAACGACTGCTCTTACGTCTTTGACGCAAAGGCGATAAGAGCATAGAAAGGCCTCGAACGAGTAGTGCACGCTTATCCGACGGCGAGACGGATTTAGCTTTGCATCGATAGCATATTAGTTATTTAGTGTCTTCGCGGAAATGCTTCTTTATCATCGCAATAAGCGTTCTTGAACGTTTAAAAGGTGATAAAGACTCGAGACGTGCGAATACGATAGTCCTTAAAGCACATAAGCATCAAAAGGAACGAACGAGCGGACAAGCTTGCAGACTTAAAAGCAAGGAAACCGGACTAAGACATTGGTCTAGCATCGCAACCTACGATTAGCGGCATCCGCATACTCTTCCGCGATATACGGAATAGAGCACGAAAAGCCTAGTAGAGCGCAAGCTTTCTTAAGCTTTCACGCTCGTATCGGAAATAAAGCCTTCTATACCTAATCAAGCCCTTCCCGGAACTAGAACTCCTACGACATGTCTTACACAGACTACTTGCGATCCGAACTACGCACGGAGACTTTACTTGGTACTATACTAAGTTCTAGTACTACGACGCCAACTTAAGGTATGCTTGCGGCAAACGCAAGTCCTTTTTGCACATAGCCTTTTACCGATTCACGCAACGACGCTTTTTTTCTTAGCCTTACAAGACTCGACCGCGGACCCTTCCGAGCACGATCCCGGAAGCCTACGACTTCCTTAAAGGTCTCTTTAACAATCCGGCCGATTTTCAAGCCTTCTTGACTACCACGGAGTTCTACTCTAAGCATTGCACCCGATAAAGGTGCTACTTTGGCTAACTGATACTGCTTCGGTAAAGAGAACGAGGTACGCTCCGCTTTACTTAAGCTGTAAAGGCTCGTTAGATCAACCGCGTTACGGGACTAAGACTTTAGAATAGCGTGGTGCGCTTCCGAAGGAATTCTCTCTAGCACTAGTGTATTATATTAGGTTTTCTTTTAGAGTTTGGGCTTTCGTATTCACCTTTTCTTTTGTACTCGGCTGACCTCGGTCCGGCCTTGATTCCTGTCGCTACGCGACGTGAACAGCTCGCTTTTAGCTAGCTACAGCAGTTTGTACATGCTTGACTCTCTTTTTTGTAGTTTTCCCTTGATGAAAGGTTTCTTTTTATATGATCCATCCTATCTGTAAAAGAAGGGCGCATGCGATAGTAGCCTTCGCTATAACACTTTAAATTGCTTTCTAAGGCCTTCTTGTATGTAACTCCTTAGCTTAGCACGTCGCCGTACCCTATGGGAGGTCCCAGGGCGGCAGGCTTCGCCTGCTACCCGCCCGACGTAAATAAATACAACAACAACAACAACAACAACCTTACTTGCTAGACTGTAAAAGATAAAAATAATACTAAGTAGAAAGATAAGATCGTTATTCTTGACGAAAGACTCTTAAAAAAGCTAAGATTAAAAGTCTTATTATATAGCTTGTTGATTTTAGCTTTCGATAATATTAAAAGCGAATACGACGAGCTTGAAAAACGTATAAAGTTTGCTAACGAAAATTAGACTTAAAATTTCGTTTTATAAAAAAAGCTCGGATCCGAAACTCTATTCGTAAACTATAATTTACGAATAAAAGATAACTTAACAATCGAAGCAAGATTAAGTTAACCTTTTGCGCTTAAGACTCTTTTGCTTAAATCATCCGTTGCGTGCTTTTCGCTATCATTAGCTTTGTTTTAAAGATCGACGTTATCTTTTATTAATAAAGCTTCGAACGCTAAACTAATTGCTTCGATTATATCTATTTTACGTAAGTCTATCGACGCGAGCTTTTTTTTAACTTTTAGACTTAAAGTATAACGCGACTTTTTCGAAAACTAGCTGCTACTAGCACTATTCGTTAAAAAAAGAGACAGCTTCGAGTACGAATTAGCTAAGGCTATATCGAACCGCTGCTTAAGACTCGTCGAGATTAAAGACTTTATAAGTATAGACGTAGCTTTTATTAACGTTTATTAAGACTTTTATCAATCAGCTTTCGACCGCTTAAACTTAAACGAGAATATTAATAATGCTTTTTAAGTTGCCGCGGAATCTATTAAGAAAGCTGTTAGCTAGATTCGTAAGCTTTTAAAAAACGAATTTTTTAATAACGCGATCTTACGACTTTTCGACCGTCGTAATTAAGTGAAAGTAAGTAAAGAAAGAAGCAAAGTAATAAATTACTTTTTGCTATCCGAGATCTTTAATTTAAGTTTTAATAACGACGATTGCGATTGTATAAAAGTCTTTTAAAAAGTGAAGAACGTATTAGAATTTAAAAATAGATTTAAAAAACTCTTTGACTTAAACGTTTAAACGAAGCTTCGCTTTAATCGCAAAGTCTTACCGTCCGCTATCGACTTGTTAAAAAGAGTCTTTTACGAAGTCTATACTTTCGAATACGTTAAATACTTTAAGCTAGTTACGAAAGGCTTTATAATAATAGTGATCCGTTTTAACTTGTATCGATTTATCGAAGCTTTTTAAACTAACGCTTTTAATAACTTTATGCTTTATTCGAGCAATTAATCGATGTTCGCTATTAAGATTAAAAGTAGTACTTTAGCTAAAAGAATGTTTAGCTTAAGCTCTTTTAAGTTTAAAGCTAAGCCGATGTCTTTTAATAAGCTGGACTAAAGCATTAGCTTGATAAGCACCGCTTAAAAGAACAGCTTTTTTAACACTATAGATGCAAGTAGCTATATAAAAGTTTAGTTTATATTAAGAGCTTCTTTTTTAAACAATAAGCATAACAACTAAACCTTTTTTATTATTATAAATAAAGAGATTTAGATGTACTTGCATTACTTTCGAATTAATGACTTAAAAAGAGCTTCGATTAATGCATTCTTTAATATAATGCACTTTTTGATTTAGCAAGTCTTTCGAAGCTATTATAAGCTATACTTAGCCGCTTTACTTAATCGCCGAAACGGAAACTATAAGCTTATTGCTTACTTAGAACCTTCTTAGCTTTTTAGATGTAATAATAATGCTCGAGTGATTGCAACTAAACACGACGCTAATATTAAACGACTTATAAACCGTAGTTTACGAGTAAAAAATAGAGTTTTAAACTATTATTTAATACTTTACGGCGTAAAGAATCAAATCGAAAGCTTAAGTATTTAACTTAAGAGCTACACTTACGATACTACTTTTAAAAAGACCGCTAAATAAGAAGCTTTTAAACTTAAGTCGAAGACTTTAAATGCTTTTAAGAATATTGCGCTACGCTAACCTTTCGCTATAATTAATAATCTCGTTACTTTTATATTCGTTATTACGAAACAAAGTGTTTTCTTAAATATAAACGCTTTTTAGAATTCCTTTTGCGAATAAGCTATTTTCTTTAACAATTACATCGCTTTGCTAAACGATAGCACTTTAGAAAATAAAATCAGCTTTATAAAGCACGCTTGCATTATCGTTTTAAAACGTATGCTGCTAACCTTTCGGTAAGGAGTTATTAATGAATCAAGCTAGCTTTTCGCCGTTATAATTCAGCTAGACTACGTCAGTTTCGTATCGGAAGCTTTAATTAAAAGAATAGACTAAAACGAACTCCGAGTAGTAAAGGAATTGACCGTTATCTTTGCTATATCTCGGACTTAGTTTTAAAAACACTTTATTAAGCATAAAAAGAAGTTATTTTCGGCATTTAAAAAAAGATTTGCTATTGTCTTAAATATTAAAGTTAAGACTTACGAAGCTAAATCTTTTTCTAAAAGCAAAAGCCGCCGAGCTAACGACTTTGTAAACGCCGATAAGTTAAAGGATTTTAAAAAGAGCTTGCGACCGATTAAGTTGTCTTTTAACGACTCCGATTCAAGTGTAAAGATTAATTTAAAAAGTGCGAATTCTACTCGTAAACTACGGTTCACGAGTTAAATCGACGATCTTAAAGCATCATCTTTTCAGCCGGAATCTTTAGACCGCGCATTCGATAAAGCTATAAAAGCCTTAGCTGATTTGCTTAAAAACGAAGACGACTTAATTAATAGCTTTAGATCTTATTTTAGCTTTGCTAACCTTCCGTCGGCCAAGTTCATATTTATTAACGATGCTATTAATAAGCGCAAGAACGATACGCGCTCTTTCACTTTTAAAAATGCTGCTACTAGCACGTCATCGTCCAATGCTAGCCTTATTAAAAGAAAAAGACCTTCTTAGCTTAAAAAGAACGAAAGAGTTAAGGACGTAAGCACGGAAAGAGATTATAAAAAAGCTGCCGAAGCGTAATTTAGATGTTTAAAGTTTAAAGACAAGATACTCTCCTTTTTGTATATTAAATTTTTTCTTTCTATTATACTTTTTTTTTTCTTTTTGCTTGATAGTAAGCGAGGGCGCTTACTTATTTTATAAAAGGACGGATATAAACACCTTGCTTGATAGGGTACCTGCTATAGCTACTAAGGCTACACTAAACGGACCTATCTTCTATAAGAGGGCACATATCTTTTAGCTAGAACAATCAACGAGCTTTCTACTTACTTTTTCTGACACTTCTTTTATGAGACTATGAGGTTTAGCCTTAGAGCCAGGCTTCTACTCAGCGCATCTTTTTGGGTGCTTCTACAATACACGTACTTATAGCACACACTCGAGTGTCTTTCGATCGTCTTTTTTCTTTTTCTTTATTCACTTACGATTCTATTATAGCTATATTTATATATATCTTTTGATTTAACGTTAAGTATATATCGGAGCTTTTCTTTTTTATATATATTTAATAACTTACGTAAAGAATCGAACTAAAAGTTAGTCTTTATACCCTTTTTAAACTTGCTTTTTTTGCGAAAAGCTATATATTCGAAGTTCACGTTATACGCTAAGCTATTGATTATATGCTTTTGCAATACTTTTTCGAAGAGTATTCGATATACTGTAAAAGCACCCAAAAAGATGTGCTGTATAGAAGCCTGGCTCTGAGGCTAGACCTTATGGTCTTACAAAGAAGGTGTCAAAAAAGGTGGGTAGAAAGCTCGTTGATTGTTTTAGCTAAAAGATGTGTGCCCTCTTATAAAAGATAAGTCCGTTTAGTGTAGCCTTAATAGCCATAGCAGGTACCCCATCAAGCAAGGTGTTTACATCCGTCCTTTCATAGAATAAGTAAGCGCTCCCGCTTACTATTAAGCAAAGAAGAAAAAAAAAAAGGTGTAAAAGAAAGAAAAAATCTAATGTATAAAAAAAAAAGAAGGTATCTTGTCTTTAAACTCCAAACATCTAAACTATTAAACTACGCTTCGGCAGCTTCTTTATAATCTCTTTCCGTGCTCACGTCCTTAACTTTTTCGTTCTTTTTAAGTTAAGAAGGTCTTTTTCTTTTAACAAAGCTAGCATTAAACGATGACGTGCTAGCAGCAGCATCTTTAAAAGTAAAAGAGCGCGTATCGTTTTTGCGCTTATTAATAGCATCGTTAATAAGTGTGAACTTAGCCGACGAAGAGTTAGCAAAGCTAAAATAAAGTCTAGAGCCACTAGTTAAGTCGTTCTCGTCTTTAAGCAAGTCAGCTAAAGCTTCTATAGCTTTATCGAATGCGCGGTCTAAGGATTCCGGCTAAGAAAATAATGCTTTAAGATCGTCGATTTAGCTCGTGAACCGTAATTTACGAATAGAATTCGCACTTTTTAAAGTGATCTTTACACTTGAATTAAAGTCGTTAAAAGACAACTTAATCGGTCGCAAGCTCTTTTTAAAATCCTTCAACTTGTCGGCGTTTACAAGGTCGTTAGCTTAGCGGCTTTTGCCTTTAGAAAAAGACTTAGCTCCGTAAGTCTTAGCTTCAGCGTCTAAGATAACAGCAAATCCTTTTCTAAATGCCGAAAACAACTTTTTTTTATGCTTAATAAAGTGTTCTTAAAACTAAGTCCGAGATATAGCAAAGATAGCGGTTAATTCTTTTACTACTCGAAGCTCGTTTTAATCTATTCTTCCGATTAAAGCTTTTAACACGAAACTAACGTAGTCTAGCTAGATTGTAATAACGAAAGGCTAGCTTGATTCATTAATAACTTTTTACCGAAAGGTTAGCGGTATGCGTCTTAAGACGATAATACAAGCGTGCTTTGTGTTACGGCTGATGGCTGATTGTATTGTGCTACTACCAACCAGTACGCTAAGTAGTGGGAAGAAAAGACGAGGAAGAGAAGAACTACAATACAGGAGGGGCGAGGGGTCATGTACCCCGATGCGGCCGTTAGCGGGGGCCTAGTCCAAGAAAGGACTAAGGCAGCTGATTAATCCTTAATCCTCTAACCAACCGTGCCAAGGCCTAAGGGCTATCAGTATCGTAACACTACCCCTCCCTCTTAAAAAACTGCGTCCTCGCAGTTGCAGTCATAAGTCGATTATCCTCTAACTCGGTATAATTATCTCTACCTTCGTTGTAAGCTTGCAACTAAAGAGGTAGAGCACGTGGTAGCCCTTTAGCTTGAGGGTGGTCGAGGTAGAACCGGCGGAGCATATGAAGGCCAGTCATCGCGTCGGAGCAAGGGTACTAGTTAAGGTCGTCATCAGCGCTAGTCTATTTGATTTGATAGTATAAGGTGTTGTGAGAAACCTTAGAACTTAGGATTTCTTCGATTTCCTATTCGTCTTGTTCGGGAAGAAGCTGGATAGCCGCGGGAGGATCGCGTACCTGGCTTAGAAAGGGGTTACCGGTATACTTCCGAAGAGAGTGAGAATGAAAAATAGGGTGTATTTTCCATCCTTCAGGTAGTTGGACCTTCTAACTCTCCTCTATTCTAGCAAGCACTTTGACTGGTTTATACTACTTGTCGGAGAGCTTCTTGGAGGGCCGGTCCATTTTCCAATTGCGTGTATCAATCTATACTTTATCATCAACGGTCCAATCGACAGGCCGTTTGCGTAGGTCGGCGAGTCGCTTTATTTTGTCTTGTTGGGTTGCAATTGAGGATTGAGCGAATTTGATAGCATCTTGAGCTCTAGTAGCCACTTGAATTGCTTCTTTACGATTAAGGCGTTCCGTAGCCGAGGACGGAGGATCGAGGTTAACTAGGTCGAAAGAAGAGCGTGATTCGTATCTATTAGCTACTTGAAAAGGTGTAATTCCATTAAGTGACTCGTGAGGTAAGGTTAATTGGGCGATGTTTATAAGAGGGACTAGTCTACCTTAATTGTCTTGGTAGTAATTGCAAAAGGGGCGAAGTCGTTGCTTGATATACTGGTTCATTACTTCAGTTTGACCATCGACATTAAGGTTGTAAGCTGTAGTAAGCTTGACCTTAGTTCTTACGGTGCGGCAAAGCTTACGCCAAAACGTTAATATAAACTGCGGGCCGCGGTCGAAGACAATAGAGTCGGGGTTGCCGAAATAGCGCACCTAATAGATCAAAAACAATTCAGCGAGGCCTTTTGCGGTAATCTCTTTATAGCATAGGATCGTGATTGAGCGTTTGGAAAGGCGATCTATGATTACTAAGCTAAAATCATGACCTTCTTCATCCAATGGCAATTCAGTGAAGTCCATTGTGAGGTGTTGATTAGCTCGGGCTAGAATAAGAAGGGGCACGAGTAATCCGAGGGTTTTATCGCGTTTGGCTTTCATCTTAGCGCATTTGCAATTCGCAATATAACGTACCATATCTGCACTAAGCCTTTTCTAAGAGTACTTGCGTTCTAGCAGCTGTCTAGTCTTGGTAATACTAGCATGCGCTACGCAAGGTTGATTGTGGATATAGCGAATAAGGGCTGTGCGTAGCTCAGGAGGCTCGAGGGGAACCACTAGCCGCCCTTGGAAGTAGAGCTTGCCGTTCCGTAAGTCATGGTCAATATCGTGGCCTTAGGTAACTGATTCGCGGATGTCTTGCAGTAAGGGCGAATCAGCATTAGCTTGAAGCACGCGATCGATAATATCGTAGCTATCGATATCGTAAGCAATCATATTGGTGTGGTCTGAAGGGTCTTCGTCGAGCAATACGTCTTTCGAAATAAGAAAGGGCGGTGGGACATCATGCACTAGAGCCAAAACCACTAGGATAGAGTGGACTACTGTAACGGAATCATCTATTGAGCAGAATTGAGCGAGCTCGTCAAGAATGGATAGTGGTGTAAGAGTAAAGGAATGTTGACTGCAGTCAACAACATCGATAGAAGGCCGTATGTCGCGCAGTACTTCCGAGGAGATTTTATCAGCAGGGAGTAACTGCTGCTTCCGGACCGCGCGCTGGCGAGCTTCTAAGGGAGAGATATCCTGATCACGGCGTGAGAGAGCGTCAGCTAGCGTGTTCGTGATACCGGTGCGGTATATGATAAAGAAGTGAAAATCAGCGAAAAACTCGGCTCAACGTGCTTGTCGTGCTGTAAGGTCCTTCGTCGTTATAAAGTACTTAAGCGCGCGGTGGTTAGTATACACGTGGACTGACTTTTGAGCACTTAAGAGCTCTGGTCGGTAGTGCTGGAAAAAGCGGAAAATAGCCAGAAGCTCTTTATCATGGATAGGGTAATTTAGCTCAGCGTCAATCATCGTCTTAGAGAAAAACCCAACGGAGTGATAAAAGCTATCGTTTTAGAGCTGTGAAAAGACGCTAGCGACCACGCTATCAAAAGAATCAGTTTCAAGACGTGTTTGCTTGTATGGGTCGTAGTGGCACAATATAGGAGCGTGTTGTAAAGCAGCCTTAAGCTTGTCCCAAGCTTCTTTGCAAGCTGAATTGAAAAGAAAGGGAGTATCCTTGGCGGTGAGGGCGTTCAATGGCTTGCAAAGCTGGCTGAAACCTTTGATAAATCTTTTATAGAAATTGCAAAAGCCGAGAAAGGATTGTACGCTACGCACGTTTTCTCTATACTTTTAGTCAGCGATAATTGCAATCTTGTCCGGGTCTACTTTAACGCCGTTGGTACTAATTACAAAGCCGAGGAATTTGGTCTTATAGACATTGAACTCGCACTTCTTAATGTCAGCTTGAAGGCCGTGGTCGTTAAGGATGCGCATGATTTTCTTGATATGCTCGGTATGTTTTAATTCATTAGCAGAATAAATCAGAATGTCGTTTAAGTAAGCAGAGCAGAAGTCATCTAAGTGGTCTATGAGTATGTCGTTAATAAACCGCTGGAAAGTAGCGGGACCGTTCGTTAGTCCAAAGGGTAAGACTTTATATTTATATGTACCGTAACGAGTGCGGAACGTAGTAAGGTCTTCGGAATCGGAAGAGATTCGAATTCGATAGAATGCTTGTTGAATATCGATCTTAATAAAGATTTTAGCGTGAGAGATTCGGGCTATCATCTCATCAATAAAAGGGAGTGGGTAAGGATCCTTTTAAGTGATCGAATTCAAGCGCCGGTAATCGATACAAAGTCTTATTGAACTATCTTTCTTTTTAGTAAACAAGATAAGGGCTGAATAAGGTGCGTTAGATAGCTCGATGAATCCTTTGTAGAGGTGGTCCTTAACGTATTGCTTTACCTCGGACAGTTGGTCATCTGTAAGGCGGCGAAAGGGTTCCGTAATCAAGGTGTTGTTAGTAGCTAAGGTAATCTTGTGGTCTACTTTAGGCCGCCGAATTGCAAGCACGTCCGAAGCTTTTTTAGAGAAAAGGTCTTTGAATTCAGCGTATTCGAAGGGCAATTCTTAGTCCACTTTAGCGTCATTGGCAGCGTATTTCGCGCCAAGCGCTTAGGCAGGGTCTATACTATTCAGAGCGGCAATTTAGATGGTTTCTTCGTTTGCAGAATGGATGCTGCGACGGTCCTGCTCGCGCTAGACGTCGTGGACGGAGGCTAAGAACACAAACTCATTAGGTAAAGGGGTGCCCTTTTAAATAGCGGCTCTGTAATTCTTGCGGAAACGGAGCAAGTTGCGCTTCATTAGAGAAGCACCGATCAAAGAGATATTAACGGTGCTTTTGTGCGCGTTAAAAGTGGACCTTTGTCCGTCTTTGACAGGATCTTGCTTATCTGTGCTAGCTAAGCCGCGCAAGTACTTGTCTATTGTAGCTAAGCGTTTCTGAAGATCGCGGGCGAAGTTGGAGCTTCGTTTAAGCGACTTGACCTGTAGGGTAGCAGAAGTAGGCTGGAGAGTACTGATTTGAGAGGTGGCATCTTGTTCGTCGAGTAACTGGTCTCGCCGAGAAGCATTAGCTTGATGACTGAGCTTAATAGCTGTGTGAGAAAGGTCTAGAAAGATCCGGGTGCTAAAGTAAGGAATAATAAGCATATCCGAAGGCTAGTATAGCTGAGGTTTAGCACCAAATCGCTGGCTAATATCGTAGTGTGCGAGGAACTTCCGACCAATTAAAACGTCTGTAGAGCTTAGCTTCGTAATTAAAAAAGGGAAATTGATGCGGCGACGATCAATAGTAAGGGTGAGGAGTATAGCATGAGTGATTGGATCACCCGGAGCACCATTGTACCCAGTAGGGACGATTGGGTAAGGCAAGGTAATAAACTTATTACCGAATCGTTGAGAGAGCTGGAAAGCTAAAGAGGTTTTAATCGGAAGTTTCGAAGAGGGATGGGGGGAGATTGCAGCGAAGGCAGTCCAGGCGAAGGTGAGAGGTGAGGGTCGAATTGCAGCGATGGCAGTTCGAGCTTGGAGGTCCAGCTTTCTCTAGGACTATGAAATCAGCGGGGATGTCTGATCAAGGTACTCAAACTTTTAGGAGGGAAAGCGAGAGCCAGTGTAACCTAAAGGGACCTTCGAATTGCAGCTGAGGCAGTTCGAAGTATGTCGGAAACGGGGTCGATATTATGCTTCGCAGCGAAGGTGGTCGGTCTTTTCTTATGTTACGGCTGATGGCTGATTGTATTGTGCTACTACCAACCAGTACGCTAAGTAGTGGGAAGAAAAGACGAGGAAGAGAAGAACTACAATACAGGAAGGGCGAAGGGTCATGTACCTCGATGCGGCCGTTAGCGGGGGCCTAGTCCAGGAAGGGACTAGGGCAGCTGACTAATCCTTAATCCTCCAACCAACCGTGCCAAGGCCTGAGGGCTGTCAGTATCGTAACACTTTGCAAAGCTGACTTTATTCTCTAGAGTGCTATCGTTTAGCAAAGCGGTATAATTATTAAAGAAGATAGCTTATCCGCAAAAAGAATTCTAAAAAGCGTTTATATTTAAGAAAACACTTTGTTTCGTAATAACGAATATAAAAGTAGCGAAATCTATAATTATAGCAAAAGGTTAGCGTAGCGCAATGTTTTTAAAAGCATTTAAGGTCTTCGACTTAAGTTTAAAAGCTTTTTATTTAGCGGTCTTTCTAAAAGTAGTGTCGTAAGTATGGCTCTTAAGCTAAATACTTAAGCTTTCGATCTGATTCTTTACGCTATAAAGCATTAAATAGTAATCTAAAACTTTATCTTCTACTCGTAAACTATAGTTCACGAGTCGTTTAATATTAACGTCGTGTTTAATCGCAATCACTCGAGCATTATTATTGCATTTAAAAAGCTAAAAAGGTTTAAAGTAAGCAATAAGCTTATAGTTTCCGTCTTAGCGATTAAATATAGCGGCAAAGTACAATTTATAATAGCTTCGAAGGACTTGCTAAGTCAAAGAGTGCATTATGTTAAAGAATGCATTAGTCGAAGCTCTTTTTAAGTTATTAGTCCGAAAGTAATAAAAGTATATCTAGATCTTTTTATTTATAATAATAAAAAAAGTTTAATTGCCGTGCTTATTGTTTAAGAAAGAAGCTCTTAATATAAGCTAAACTTTCGTATAGCTACTCGCATCTAAAGTATTAAAAAAGCTATTCTTTTAAGCGGTGCTTATCAAGCTAGTGCTTTAATTTAGCTTATTAAAAGACATCGGCTTAGCTTTAAACTTAAAAGAGCTTAAGCTAAACATTCTTTTAGCTAAAGTACTGCTTTTGGTCTTAATAGCGAATATCGATTAGTTGCTCGAGTAAAGTATAAAATTATTAAAAGCGTTAGTTTAAAAGGCTTCGATAAATCGACACAAGTTAAAACGGATCACCGTTATTATAAAGCCTTTCGTAGTTAGCTTAAGGTATTTAACGTATTCGAAAGTATAAACTTCGCAAAAGACTTTTTTTAACAAGTCGATAGCGGACGGTAAGACTTTGTAGCTAAAGCGGAGCTTCGTCTAAACGTCTAAATCAAAAAGTTCTTTAAATTTATCTTTAAATTCTAACACGTTCTTCACCTTTTAAAAGACTTTTATATAATCGCAATCGTCGTTATTAAAGCTTAAATTAAAGATCTCGAATAGCAAGAAGTAGTTTACTACTTTGCTTCTTTCTTTATTTACTTTCATTTAACTACGACGATCGAAGAATCGTAAGATCGCGTTATTAGAAAATTCGTTTTTTAAAAGCTTACGAATCTAGCTAATAGCTTTTTTAATTGATTTTGCGGCAACTTAAAAAGCATTATCGATGTTTTCGTTTAAGTTTAAGCGGTCGAAAGCTGATTAGTAAAAGTCTTAGCAAAAGTTAATAAAAGCTACGTTTATACTTATAAGATCTTTAATCTCGACGAGTCTTAAGCAGCGGTTCGATATAGCTTTAGCTAGTTCGTACTCGAGGCTGTCTCTTTTTTTAACAAGTAATGCTAATAGTAACTAGTTCTCGAAAAAGTCGCGTTGCACTTTAAGTTTAAAAGCTGCAAAAGAGCTCGCGTCGATAAACTTGCGTAAAGTAAACATGATCGAAGCAACTAGTTTAGCGTTCGAAGCTTTATTAGCAAAAGATAACGTCGATCTTTAAAACAAAGCTAATAATAGCGAAAGGCGCGCAATAAGTGATTTAAGCAAAAAGGTCTTAAGAGCAAAAGGTTGACTTAATCTTGCTTCGATTATTAAATCATCTTTTACTCGTGAATTATAATTTACGAATAAAGTTCCGGATTCGAGTTCTTTTTGTAAAACGAAACTTTAAGTTTGATTTTCGTTAGCAAACTCTATACGTTCTTTAAGCTCGTCGTATTCGCTTTTAATATTATCGAAAGCTAAAATCAACAAGCTATACAATAAGACTTTTAGTCTTAGCTTCTTTAAAAGTCTTTCGTTAAGAATAGCGATCTTATCTTTTTACTTAATATTATTCTTATCTTCTACGATCTAGCAAGTAAGGTTGATTACCGTAGCATTAAGCTTAGTAAACTTGCGTCTTCGGGCTATATTAGCTATAATCTTTTAAAAAGCGACGTAAGCAACAATATAATAATTGATGACTTAAATAGCGTAAGCGTTAAAAGTGCAATTCTTTAGAATAACGCTTAATTAGCGAGCGCTGCGGATTAAAGTGCATATAGCTTTAAAGTGGTCGTCATATAGCAATTAGCTTCGAGCGCCGTCGAAAGCTCTTTTAATTCGTCTATATCTTTCGGCGTTCTTGTTGCGTAAAGAATAGATAGCAATGACTTTAATAATAAACTAATCGTAAGCCGAAAAAAAGTCTTCGGCGTTTATATTCTTTCTTGCGTATTCGGCCCGCAAGAACTAATCGTACTGCAAGATCAAGTCATCTTCTTTACTTAATCTATTATTAAAGTCGGAGGTTGTTACTTTAAGCATAGCTAATTAACTAAAGTTGCTTATTTAACGGTAAGTCTAAAGGAACTTATCGAAGGTCTTAATAACTCGTCCTTCGAACTTCAGTTCGAAACTCGATTATCGGGCTAAAGCGGCTTGCTCTTCGCTTATTAATAAGCTAGAGAGTGCATCACGGACAAAGGCTTTTCCTTTAGCGGCGGCTAACTTAAAAAGCATATTTAACTCGTGAACTACGATTCACGAGCTAAACATAAGATAGCGTAATAAGAGCTGATAATAATAATGATTGATTAAATGATAATTAAAAGTCGTTAGTATTAATGTAATATTATATGATTATAAATAAAAGTAATAGTAGTAATATTATAATTGTTATTGTATAAAAAGAGAAAATGTTAAAAAGAAAGAAAAGAAAGCTTTCTTATATAAGTATATTTGTAAAGAAGACCTACTCTTTCTAATAGCAGTTCACCTTCGAATACACGTAGTTAAGCACGCTTAAAACAAAAGAACAGTCTTAAATAAAAAATAAAAAATAACCGTATAAGCTTAAACAAATGAAAAACAATCAAACAATAAAAACAATCTATATAAGACAAGTAAATAGTTAGTAAAGTGAAAAGAACAAAGAAAGAATAGAAAATACAATAAAAAGCAAGTCTAAAAGTAAGAGAACAAACGTAAGAAATACCCTTCTTTATTAATAACAAAAAGAGTGATTATTAAAGGCACGTCCTTTTATAAAATAAGTGTAAAACAAAAAGAAGATAAGAAAGTAAGAAAAAAACAAAGTAAAAGAAACAGACTAAGAAACAATTTTATAAGCTAGTTTTTGTTCTTTCGAAAGTATTAAAAGAATGATTTGGAAGTTGATAAACTTAAGTCTAAAGGTCACTTTTGAGTTAAATAGTTCACTTTTGCTGTCGTCGGAAGGCTCGTATTCGCTAAAGTCCGAGTCGTTTAAAGAGCCCGAATTTTCCTTTTCTTTTTCTTCGTCGTCTTTATTAAAAGGAAAAAAGGTTTAATCGCAGCGATAAAATCGCTTAAGGCGGTTAGCTGCAAAAGTACCTTTAAGCTTAATCTTATCGGTTTCTTAAAGCTTATAATATCTTTTATCGTAAGCTTTAAAAACGACATAAAGTCTTAGTTATTTATAGTCTAGCTTAATATCCGCGGATATATCGATGCTGCGTTTGATATCGTAAAGCAGTACTAAGTCTTTTTCTTTAATAGGTTTCGATTTCAAGACTTTAACTCGTTCTTAAGTAGCTTTAGCGGCAAGTCGATAGCGTTTTTTTTTTAAGATGATCTCGTCGATATCTTCATCTCGAAGTTCTAATTATCTAAACCTTATAACAAGCAAGTCAACGCGAGATCGAACTTTTTGCTATAATAGTAACCTTTAGACTAGCTATCGTAATTCTAAAAGTAGCTTAGCTTTTCGTTCGTAGTTCAAGAAGAAAAAAGTAACTTTAATAAATGCGTATATCGAAGTCCGAACTGCAAAGAGCATCTTATTAAATTTACGAACCTAATCTTTAAATCCTTCGTTTATAACTTTCGATAAGCTATCCAAGATGTCTTTATAGCCTCTTTTAATTATTCTATTAGCTTTTGAATTATAGCTTGAGATTTAGACCTTCTTGATCTCGTACTTAATAGCGAAAGCTTTAGCAATTACTTTATTCTTAAGTCTTT